AAATTCCTTGTTTTCCGAAGATTGGGTCAGGTCGGGTCTACCAGACCTGGTCGACCCGACCCACCCAACATTGTTGGGTCGCAACATGTCGTTACAATCACATTTTTGTCCGTGGCGACAAGGGCGAGGTAAGCGACCAAAACTCGTTTCACGCACATGCCGCCCGCCTACCTGGTGCTCGTGTAATGAGCACCGATTGTAATTTCCCGAGAAATCATCAAGAATCGGATAGGACGGGATGTGAATCCTGGGCCTCGTTCTGTTGCCGCATGAGCTATTTGGGCCTTCCGCACAAGCACTGCGGGATGGGCTTTCCTCGAAGGGGTCAACCCTCCCGTGGCCTCGGCGAAGTTTGTCGCTAACGACAAAGCGTGTTTGCAAACAACATAAGTTTTTTTTTTTCGTTCACAATGCCCAGTCTGCCCAGATGCTCAGAATGTTTCACTCCAACCACTCACAAACCTTCGGCCTTTGGGTTCACCCTTTCTCCCGCTTGGTATGTTTTTGTGGAGAGTTAAATCATCGTTCCATTTCCCAAAAACGGACGTTGAGACCTGCCCGTTACTGCTTGTGCGTCCCCTTATCCCGATCCGACGGGCGGTTGGGGTTCGCACGAGCGGTGCCTCCAGTTTGTCCGTGAGAGAAGTTTCGAAGTAAGGTCCGAACGCACTGGTTGTGATGCGTTCTCTTACCCACAGGCGCACAGCAAATGCTCCCATGTTCGGTACACAATAACGAATCAAGAGGCTCGACGTGGGCTTTAAGCCCTTCTTGCAATATCCTAGAATATTCGTTGTTGGGAAATTATACGGGCAGTCACAATCATGCCCGTTTTATCACGTTTAGTCACAGGGGTATCACGAACAGTCACAGTACAGTAGATTACAATCGCATGAGATCACAGTGCTAACACGGATGGTCACACCTCGTCCCAAAAACCTATCACGTTTGGTCACTCGTTTAAATGACCATTATAAGTTGAAACAACACAAGTCACTGTAGGGATTCAAGGAAAGTTATCTCGGGCGCGCCGAGACTCCCATAATGACCCTAATAATATGACTTTTAAACGAGTGAAACTCGGATTGAATTCGGAGGATGCCTAAACCCCCATAGGAGGGTGACTTTTATTCCCAAGACTAAAAAAACTAAAACCCATTAGGATGGAATTCAATTCGGGATGCATCAACCCCAAACACCTCGTCGCATGTTGTTTAGGGTTGATGCCTCCCGAATGATGTACCCTCCTATAGGGGTTTATTTTTCTCGTCAGGCCAGTATTATGCGCGAGGTAAAAAGCAATCAGGATTGGGATCCCCCAAAATTTCTACAGTTCCTTTTGTGGTATCAATTTAATTATGGTCGTTTCATCGAGTGACCAAAAGTGATAGCTTTTCGGGGCGAGGTGTGACCATCCGTGATACCTTTGTGATAACCCGCGATAGAAATCTACTGTACTGTGACTGTTTGTGATCCTCCTGTGATCAGTCGTGATAACGCGGGCATAATTGTGACTGCCTGTATAATTTCCCTTCGTCGTTAGGGGTAAGCACCCGTAATGCGCCAACAGAATGATACAGACGATGCTCAGACTATCACAAAAAATTGCTCACAATTAGAAAATTTGTCACTCGCGAACGTTTTGCCCGTGAGTAACTAAATTGACCATTGTGCTGATTTCGGGGTACAGTCACCAAGTTGCTAAAGAAAACATCTACAGTTAAAAAACAACAACGGCTGTCTGTCATCAGAATTGTTAACCTGGTTACAAACTTAAACCCCGAGACTCATTTCACATTTCAATTTCATTTTACAGCCACATTTTAGCCCGTGGCGACAACGGCGAATGTGGCGAAATTCACAAAACTCGTTTCACGCAAATGCCCCCCACTACCTGGGTTCTTGAAATGAGCACCGACTGTACCCCGCCTCACTAGACCGAATCTTCCCGAAGTTGTCGTCCTCTGTTCATCAATTGGCTGCCCGACATACAGTACAACGTGACAGCTCCACCCTTCAGCAGCGCGGGCAGAATCCTGGACCGGAGTCAGTTGCTGTTGCACATCCGATGTATAAAAATAGGAGATATATAAGAAAACTCAGGAACCCCGTAGACGACTGCGCTAAAACGACAGTCTGGGGTGCGTTCAGTCATGACTGTTGATGTTTGCGCTTAAGGCACTGGGCAATTTGAGTGGCACAAACATTTGAGGGTGAGCTGGGAAACTACTTCTGAAGAAATGTAGCGTTGCAGCTCCAAATCGCCGCCGCCAGTCGCACGGATGCAGGAAGTGGAGGAAGGTGTGCTTTGCTGTGGTCATTTGACGCGGTTTCCAACGATTCTTCGCATCTGCTTAGTTGCTGTTGGTCCCGCCACTCGCCCATCTTGTCTGAAGTGGGATCCGGAGGCGGCATACAGCTGTTCCCTGCGTGCAGACGAACACTCATCGGCTCACAGTCTTGCCCTACCAGCGTGTTTCTTGGCAGGAATGTACAGTGCTGTACAAGATTGTCAATGCTGACATCAAGTTGGCATGGGATGGGACTGATGCTCTGCAGCATGGCACGGCATGTCATTCCTCCCCTTGTGGCTGCCCGAGGCCAGTTTTCAAACTTGGACCTTCCTAGCTGTTTGGGGGTCTTTTGCAGTCGAATCAAACTCTGCTGATTTCCCTTATGCGTACACCAAATGGAGAGAAATCGAGCGCACACCTTGCTGGATGTCAGATCTTGCAGCACTGTACCAAGTTCTTTTCGAGCCTTGAAGGTGTTTGTGTTTGTAGCCCTAAAACTTTGACCAAAGCAATGCTTTGCTAAGGACGTGGCCCAGACCGCTTCTGATTGCCTAGATCAGAAGCGATCAATAACTTCCAGGAAGCCCCAAGGCCAATTTCAGGCAATCGGGGGCAATCAGCTGATCGCGATCAGCTGATCGCCCCATCTCGATCAACCGCCGCAAACACCCCAATCAAACACAATCACACACAATCACGCACAATCAGTTGATTGCGTTGGGTTGCACCCCTATGCGACGCCAGCGAAAAGTTACAGTGTTCGTCTGGGTTTCGAGTAGCCCTCGCCTTACCTCCACGACTGCAAGAACTGTGATGGGTTTCCAAGTCAGAAGTTTCTGGAGCCGTCGTAGCGTTGCTGTCTCCCTTTGCGAAATTACAGGGTGACACAGGTATCGCTGGAGCAGTGCTCATGCCTTTCGCTGTCGCCAAATTTGGCCCGAAGCTGGTGGGAAATGTTTTTGTGCTTACCATGCACCATCCCCTCACATTCGAGGAATTTCGGCTCTGATCGGGCGGCACGCGCCGCGCGATCAAAGTCGCCCCGAACAGATCCGACCCGAGCAGATCACTGCCGATCAGACCCGGTCTGGGCCACGTCCTAAGGACGTGTCTCGGTTTGCCTCGGGTTGCCTCGATCAGACACGATCAATAACTTCCAGGAAGGTAAAGACGAGATTTCATGCAATTAGGGGCAATCACTAGCTTATCGCCCCAATCGATCAACCGCGAAAACAGCCCAATCAAACACAATCACAGACAATCACCGACGATCACTTGATTGCATTTGATTGGGGTACTACGCGACGCTGGCGAACAGGTACATCGGTCCGCAGGGATTCGTGAAACCCTCGCGAATACCACGTTGTGGCAAGATTGTTGGTGGAAGGTTCTGGAACTGCAGCGTTTCTGGGTTGGCCCGTTTTCGTGACATTATAAGGAAACACTCAAATTCGCTTAATCCATCACGAGGGGTTCGCAGTCGCCAAAGTGAGCCCGAAGATGGCAGGAGATGTATTTACGCCTGCTGTGTACCCTCGTGGAGAGTTCGAGGAAAATCTTCTTTGATCGGGCGGCGCGAGCTATCCAAACAAAGGCACCCCGATCAGATCAGCCCCGACCAGGGCCCAGTTTGGCAGGCATAAAAAAACCGGGCGAGGGGGATGGGCTACAGTGAACCGACCACCCTGGAACCTTCCCTGATAAGCGTGTGAAAGATTATCAAGGTTCGATATAAGCGGACTACGCCGAACCTGACAATAATGGAATGCCAACCAAACACCCCGTTATTCGATGGCATTTCCAATCCACCGTTTCTTCGACGACCCCATTTTCCCTACCAAAGAGCCAATTTTCGGACACCCCGCACCATGCGGCCTTGAGACCCCGCACCATGCGGGGTATCAGTGATTCGGGGCAATCAAAAGTGACTGCCAGCCAATCACATGATCACGCGCAACTGCCTACCATCTTCTGCGAAACCCTAAATTTCGATTGATGCCATCAATCTACACCCAATTAATGCCAGCCAAACACTCAGCCCCATTTTTTCGAAGGTGCACTGCAGCTACAGTCCGATTTCGAAGCTGTTTCTCGAAATGCGCAGGTGGCATTTTTTGGGGACCCGTTAAAAATGCCCATCATGGCCATAATGGCCATGATGCCTGCCAAACTGGGCCCAGATCACAGCCGACCAGAGGCGAACCGAGACACGGTCCTAGAACTTCCGCGATCGGCGCCATGATGCCTGCTCCCCCAAAAAAACACACCCCAGCCGTCCTGCCTGAGCCCGAGGTTCCAGCTAGACCGCAGGCAAAGGAGTGTTTTCACAGTACTACAGTATTACTTCGGGACATGTCACGGCAATTCCACATCTGCTCTCCCCACACCCAATTTCGTGCCGACATCCATTTCAGTACACAGTTGAAGAATGTGTCATCGTCTCCGATCGATTGTCGCACGACACAGTTGAAGTACAGCCGATGCCCATTAGAGGAGCCCCACCTTCGCCTTATCTAAGGGCGGGGACTGAGCACATGCTTTTCGCGTACCTCGCTCAAATTCGCCACTGGAATAAATGGGACTGTAACGCGCAAGCGGAGGGGTTGACGAATTCCCATGTACCGTTTTCAAAATATTTGACGAAGGGATGGTTGACAGCGTGATAAGCAGTTCGATCGACGGCTACGATCTACTGATGTGACTGACATGAGGGGCCGTTGTTTGTCCACGAATGCACGAGGGACAAGCAAATTTCAAGGGACTAGGTGAGCATCGAGTCGTTCAAGTAACTACCACCAATCAGTGAACGGCGCGCAGCGAGGCTGTTCGTGTTCGCAGTCGAGATCGCTGGGCAGGGCAGCCCTGCTGCTGCATCAAATCGATCTCCCCGTTTTTCCTGATTCCCGAACCGAAGCCGATTTTCCCAGCTGATTTTCCCAGCCCCACGGAACGGTGGATGGTGGAAGTTCCTTCCACGTTGACCCTTCCCTTCCATTCCATCCATGGCTCCTTTCGCCCTCCCACCTCAGTCCTCCGCCCAAGCCACAGTCATCAACCTCCCTTTTTCCCCCGTTGTTTCCCCAGCTTGCCGTTCCAGCGAGCATCCTCCTTCATCCCTCTCCCCCCCCAGTTCCCCCCTCCTCATCCTGATTCAAGCACACAGCACAACGCTTCAAACCCCCGAATTCCAGCCCTCATTCCTACTTATTTCTACTTCAGCTGCAGTCTCATAGTAGCTACTTTCTCTCCTTTCCAGGTTTGTAGCTTGGTTACCTCTCAACAGTTCGATCCGCGTAGATTTCACAGAAATCCATAATGTGTTTCCCACCAGAGATCAAGCGAGTGCCCTTCTCGTCCGCCGTCGCACCCTCCGCCAACTCAGAATCTAGATCCAATGGGCCTCTTAGCCGTCCTCGTGTCTCGGAGGATTTTGACCGGGCAGTTTCTCAGTTCATGGCCGGTTTTCAAGCGCAACAGCCGGCGCAAACACAGCAGAAGGCGGTGAATGAAGGGGTTGTGAGCCGAGACGACCTTCTGGCTCAGCTACAGAGGCGTGCTAATATAACGGTCACCCGGCCGCCGTCAGCCGTAGGATTTCCGTCGGCTGGCATCAACGGCAGATACTTGACTTTCTCTTCCACTGGCCTTACCGAGAATTCGGCGTTGCTCTCTACTGCTTCTCTCCTCCAATCATCCGCCACTTTTCCCCAACCTCCTGTTTCCCCACTCCCTGGGATTCCCGCGGTATCACCTCCGTCAGTAGGGATACCCGCATCCATTTCATCAAACGGTTTCCTGAGCAACGTATCTGGTGTGACTACATCGGGTGGGACCCCCTTCGGCAGCAACATTATTTCCGGCGTAACCCCTCTTAGCAAGAGCATGATCGCAGCTGCAAGCCCTCTAAGCGCTCTCGGATTTAACTTCGCCGCAAGCAGCGCGAAACTGGATTCCGACGAGGACGAGGAGAAGAAGGTTCGACGAATTATGTCGAATCGCCAGTCGGCGAAGCGGTCGCGACAGCGGAAGCGCGAACGACTCGACGAGCTTGAGGAAGAGGTCGCGGCTTTGACGCAAGCGCGCGAGGAGGCGAATTGGAAGCTGAAGGAGGCTGAGGCGAGCGCGGAAGGCCTTCGCGCGGCGAACGAGCACATGAAGGAGGAGGCAGAGCGATTGCGAAGGGAGATCGGCTTGCGCGGAAGACAGTCGCAGATTTCGTCGCAGCTTCCCTCGCAAGTGCCTGCGCCTGCCGCTCCCGCAGCAGAAGTAGCGGAAGCCGTTCCGGCGTGCGACGAGGCATCACCTGCGAAAAAGTTGCGGGAAAGTGATTTTAACTCGGATGTGGCTAAAGCTGCTGTTCACAAAGTGAACAACCCTAGCTCGCCGACTAGTAATGTCACGCGAACTGATTATACTTGTACCGAAGCAAGTGTTGAGGAAGAGGCTGCCGTCGGGGAGGGGTTCGGGTTCTTTGGTGGTGGTTTAATGGGCGTCGATGACATGGGGTGCTTGCTGGGGGAGGCTCCTCAGGGCCTGGGGTTTTTGGATGACGCCCTGGTGAGGGCAATGCTGGATTGCATGGGTGGAGGGGAATTACTCTAGCTTCAGTCTTACGTTGTGGTGGTGTGGATTCTGATGTGATCAGGGCATTGAACTGATTGCTTGGCTTGGACATACCAGTTGCTCTTTGGTGCTTGTTGATACTGAATGATGAATTCACGTGCTTAATGGTTCTATTGTTAATTTCGACTAGTTGTTAGCCTTACCAAGAGATGGAGTCCCTCATCGAGAGTGACGAATTGAGCCTGTTGGAATGCGGTCACTGATTTTCCGGTCTCGATATACCTTACCTGGTCTCCGGCTTGAAATGTGAAACATCACGAGAGCAAAATTGATATTCCCTGATAATGTTTAATTTCTTATAATACAGTGTATTGCGCTTGATTTCGTTGTGTAAACGAGGGTGAAGGAGGCGAAACGGCGCATTTCCCACCACACCGCGAATCTGACCACCTTTGAATGCGATTCGGCGTTTCACAACAAGCGGCGCGTCAAATTCCGAAGACGAAACGGCACAAAATTCCCAACTCAACCTCAGTCACAAATCCACCTCAATGTCACAGAACAGAACAGAACTTTGAACACCAGGAAGTCGTGGAGTGACTGACTCAGTCTCAGAACCTAGGAAAGCATTTGGAATTTGCGACATTCAGTATTTGTAAAGAAGCAATACATTATTTTTTTCTCCCTGTCCAGTCAGAGTTGCAAGTGATTGATAGTTCAATATGTCTCAGCCTCTGGATTCGTACCCAGTGCACAGGGAGGCGCATGAGCAGCTAGAGAGGCTCTCTCTCGTGCTGCCTCGGAGGCTACTCGGCGCGCGGTTCTCCGCGAAAGCGCTCAGCGATGACGGCGAACTCTCGCCGCAGCATCACAGCGCCTCGCACATCTCAATCGGGAATCTTATCAGGTCACTTGGTAAGGTCGTCAATTCATCATTTTGATCACGTGATATTATCGAGGGTTTGAAATACTGAGTAGGCCACGCGACCTTCAGCTGCACGCCGGGTTTGCAGTAACGAATTGTGTTTGCAGGGGGGAGGCCGTCGGAAAAGGACATTCTATCCGCGTTCGTCCAGCAACTCAAGCCCGCAGGCTCCTACCATCCGTCAACTGTTGACGGAATCCGTCAGCCCCTGACACTCCTGCTGACGTCCCGCGCTCTGTACCTCCTCGAGGTGATCAGCGAGGATAGGAGCGGCTCAGAAGAAGACGACGAAATCGGCTCAAAATCTGATGATTTTATCTCCTCTCCTACTGCCGCTGCCGCAGTATCTGCTGCTGGTGGTGCTGCTCCTTATGCCGCCGCGGCCCTGACTACGGTCCCAGTGGAATCAATTACAAGGACATCCGAGGAGGTTGAGAATTTCGGGGAGGTTACTAACGCGGATGGAAAGATGAGCCAGGGATCGCAGAAGGGTGGTTCTAATAATGGTTCTTCAGGGGACGTGACAAACGAGGGGGGAGAGGCGCAGACTGTCGTTAGTAACGGACCGACTTCGAGCAATAACTCCGCAAGGGCGAGCAGAGGGAAGCTGAGGCAGTGCATCCCGGTGCTGTCGGTGGTTAAACTGCTGCTGTCATCGAGCAATGACATGTTCTCCATCGGCATGGTCAACGTGAGTCAATGCAGTCAAGGTTTCGGTAATGGCGAGTCAACTGACATGATCTCCGTCGGCATGGTCAACGTGAGTCAACGCAGTCAACAGAACGCAATGACGTCCGGTAGGAGTGTCTGTTCAATGTGAGTAAACAATGACATGGGCATGGCTTGTGAGCTGGTGAGAGCAGCGACATGTTCTCCATCGGCATGGTCAGCGTGAGCCAATACAGCCAATGAACACTCGACAATGCGCGCTCCGAAACATTCTCTTCACTTGCTGTCCCAGAAGCCATTGGCACACGCATGCAAAGAGAGAAAGTACTTCGCACTTCCCCTAATCCTCTCCCATCACCACCCCTTTTTCCTCTCAAAATTCCGCCCTCACCGTTCCCCTTCCCCTCCTCCAGGAGAAAGATGTTGTGCTGTGCACGCCGCTCGCGCCCACCATATGTCAGATTGTTATGTCGGCATTCGCAGTGGAAGCAGCCATGGCTGTTGAACGCGCTCTCGCTCTTAAATCGGATCGCCCGCAGCTGCCAGCATCAACCAGCATCCACGTGGGCGTGGTGGTACGTGCTCACAAGGTTTGAGTCGACCTAACATGTGTATAATCGAGGCGCGTTTTGTTTCGAATTGAAAGCGCCCTTTCTCTTTACTCCGATTGGCCGCAGCTGCCAGCATCAACCAGCATCCACGTGGGCATGGTGGTACGTGCTCACAATCATAGCAACAGAGTTTATGACATTCATCACATTTTGTCATTTTGTCGGTCCATACGTGTCACAGAGCGTGCAGAGATGGCTGCCGAGGTGAATCAAGGTTAGCTCGGTGGTTTAGGGCTCACAGCACAATAGAGTGAAGGCAGGATGGAGACAGCATGAGAGAGCAGAAGACAGCTCAAGACAGCACCTAGATGCTCGGACACATCATTTCATTTCATGTCATGCCCGTGCGCCTCTCCATGTGCCACATGCCATGCATGTCATGCCACGTGCCTCATGCCACGCATTCAATGTCCAACATGTGAGTCGTGCATCTGTCTCTAGCCCATTTCCCCTCTCCACTCCTCCGCTCTCCTCTATCTGTGGCAGGATCAAGAGGAGCTGCTGTGCAGGCTTCGGTGCGAACCAAATTTTTTCTTGAGTTGACTCGAAAAACAATTTCCTTGTCCTCCTATCTCCTCTCCTCCTCTCTCCACCCCCCCACTCTCCTCTATCTGTGGCAGGATCAAGAGGAGCTGCTGGCTTCCGTACGAACCAAGATCAAGGCAAGTTATGCAATCATCTTTTCTATCAACTCAAAGTCACCTTGCTTGCCTCCACTCACCAAGGTCTGCAAAGGTGATGCAATCATCTTTCCCCTCGATGTCTGCAATCAAGTGCTGTGCAGCATCACCACGGACCTTTTCCTCGTCCATTTATGCCAACAATCATCTATGCGAATCCCATCCTCCCGTCCTCGCTTCTGCCCCCCTTCCCGCCACACAATTCCCCCATTCTTCGCCGCCAGTATATCTGTCCCTTCTGAACCACAGCATCGGCACGCGACTTCCCCTCGTTCCCTATTTTCCCCCCATTATTTCCAAGTTCCTCCCCGCCCCCCCCCTTCCCCCCACACAATTCCCCCATTCTCCACCGCCAGTCTATCCGTCCCTTCTGGGCAGCAGCATCGGCGCGCGTCTTCCCCTTCTCCGCGCCCACCTCCCCCCGTGGAGAAACGGTGGTGGGGGGTGAAGCAGGGGAGGAGGCAGGGATATCACAAGGCTCAGCCGGGGGGGTTGACGCTGCAACTTCGATGGTGAGCGTGATGAGAGGTCCTTAAACACAAACTTGTTCCACAGCAGTTGCTGCACTTGCACCGCTTACAACCGCTTCCAAACTCACCCCACTCCTCCCACTCTTATCTCCAACCCTTAAAGGGAGCCCAGAATGACGTGTCGATGCAGGATGCTGACAGCGCCGTCAGCAGCATCAACGCTGACGTGGCACCGCCGGTGGAAATCACGGATTTCATCCCTCTGAAGGTTCTTGGAAAGGGCAGTTTCGCCAAGGTAAGAAGAAACTGTTGCTAACACTAACCATTCTCTGTTTGACAAGTGACGTCTGAATTGATTTCATCCCTCTCAAGGCACTAGAGAAGGGCCAAGGTGAGGCAGCAGCATAGGGCCGACTTGTGTACTCCCATACCCCCCACCCATGCCCCGTTAACACCATGTTTTAGGATTTTTTCTAGAATTCTAAAAAAAAATCCCTTCAGCCGACTTGTGCACTGCCATACCCCCCACCCATGCCGTGTTAACCCCTCTCCGCCACTATCCCTCCACACACCATCCGCTTCCTGTGACCCCGCTCTCCCATAATGCCCCTCCAGGTGCTGCTGGTGCGCCATGCCCCCAGTGGGCAGGTGTTTGCAATGAAGGCAAGGCGGCAGTGAGTGACGTGACGTGACAATAGCAGCAGCAGAGAGACTCACACTCGCACCATCCCCCCCCCGCCCCCGCCCACTCTCCGCCCATCCCTCCAGGTGCTGCTGGTGCGCCATGCCCCCAGTGGGCAGGTGTTTGCAATGAAGGTGTTGGACAAGGCGGCAGTCATGCGGCGACAGCAGCCGAGTTGCCTTGTGCCCACTGATAGGGCACTGCCATACCCCACCCACGTGATACAAGTAGTGTTTTGTGACGTCTCAAAAAAAAAAAAAACTTCTATCAGACGCCTTGTGCCCTCTGCCATACCCCACCCACGCACCGTAACCCCACTCTCCGCCCATCCTTGAGTCGACTCAAAACTCGACCCACGCACCATAACCCCACTCCCCGCCCATCCTTGCAGGTGCTGCGTTGAGTTTTGAGTCGACTCTAAACTCGACCCACGCACCATAACCCCACTCCCCGCCCATCCGAGTGATTTTTGAGAATTCTCAAAAATCACTCGCATAACCCCACTCTCCGCCCGTCCCTGCAGGTGCTGCTGGTGCGCCATGCCCCCAGCGGGCAGGTGTTTGCGATGAAGGTGCTGGACAAGGCAGCGGTGATGCGCCGGCAGCAGCTGCAGCACACACTCACGGAGCGACACGTGCTGCAGGTGGGTTGGTGGGTGAAGACAGGGAGGATTACATATGGGAGGATTACTCTCAGAGGGGCGCTCCGGTCCGAGACGCGTCTCTTCCTCGATGCTGCAGATTGTTTTTGGGACGCAGCATCGAGGAAGAGACGCGTCTCTTCCTCATTCTCGACATCATCTAGATTCATATCGGGGGTAGCAGCAAACCTGTAGAACGCGCTTAGGAAAAAGGATCGAGACTGTCCGATATGAATCTAGATCCAGTCCGAGACGCGTCTCTTCCTCATTCTCGACATCATGCCGCGCGGGAAGACTCTCTTTCACCTCCGTGGGGGAGTGTGGGGGGGTGCTCCGTTAAGCAAGAACACCCCTCCGTTCTGCTCTTGCTTCACATGCCTCCGTTCCGCCACACCCCCCCACACCCCCCCACACTCCCCCACACTCCTCACATCCATTTCCCCGTTCTTCCACTTACGCCAGGAGGTGCGACACCCCTTTCTCGTCCCTTCAAAATGGGCCACGCATCCCGAAACTCGCTTCTTCCTGATCTCGACTTCGTGCCGGGTCGGGTTTTGAGGCGCCTCAAAAGTGATCTCGACTTCGTGCCGGGTCGGGAGCTCTTCTTTCACCTCAAGCGCGGACGGTTGAGCTGCCCGCCTTTTTCCACACTCCCAAATTCCCCCTCCCCCACACTCCCCACCGCACCTTCCCCCCCCTCCCCCATCCCCCACCCTCAGGAAGTGCGTCACCCTTTCCTCGTGCCGCTGCGGTGGGCCTTGCAATCCGAGACGCGTCTCTTCCTGATTCTCGATTTCATGCCGGGCGGGGAGCTCTTCTTTCACCTCAAGCGCGAAAGGCGCTTCAAGGAAGACCGCGCGCGCCTCTACGCCGCGGAGCTGCTGCTGGCGCTCGGGCACCTGCACTCTCTGGGCGTCATTTACCGGTGGGTGGATGCTGTGCGACTGCCGCGATTGTTGTGCGACGGCCATGCGAAAAGGGTGCGACTGGTGGGCGACTGGTGTGCGACTGGTGTGCAACGGGTAAGTTGGTATGAAAGGGCTTCCGCTTGAACGACGACCGCGCACGCCTGAACTTCGCCGACTCGCCGCTGCTCGCGCTGGGCGATCTACCAGTGTGCGACTGACGTGCGAAAGGCGTTGCGACTGGATTGCGACGAGTCTGTGGGTAACGAAAGAGGCGGCTCTCTGCCGCTGTTACCGCCTCGCTACCCCTGTCATCTCAAACACTGAGCCTAATATTCCTCCCTCTCCTGCTATCACTCCTCTTCCTCTCCCCTACCCCCACCCTTCCCCCTCTTTACTTCCTAATCCTTCCCCATGCCCTGTGCATCCTCCCCCCATTGTAATCTCTCTCCCGTGCATATGATGTCACAGCGACCTGAAGCCGGAAAACATTCTCCTAGATGCTCAAGGTAAGCCGTGAGTAAGGAAACGTGGTTACTAAAATAGGAAACGTTCTCCCGTCCTGATGAGCTGATTCCTGATTTCTGAGCTGGAACGGGACGTGAGTGCTATGCCAGCGCGGCATTGGGTGGGGATAATCTCGATATGCACGACGCGCATTTCCGTCCATCCGTTCTCGTTATCCACTGGGCCCCCTGCCAGGTCACGTGCGCATCGCGGACTTTGGATTGGCCAAGGAGCACATCGCCGACAACTCATCGGCCTCCACCTTTTGCGGCACGCCAGAGTATCTGGGTGAGCTTTTTCGCTGTGTAAGATAGGAATGATGCCCTACAGTCAAGTTTATTGCATTCTCCTTCCAGACATCGGTTTCGTGGTGTAGTTGGTTATCACGTCAGTCTAACACACTGAAGGTCTCCGGTTCAAGTCCGGGCGAAGCCATAGTTGACCTTTTACTTTTGGATTGTCACATCACCCATTTTGGCTCCTCTCCCTGTTATCATTATCCACCTTCTCCACCTTTCCTGCACTTCATGGTCTCCCATTCTTCCACGATCAACACCTTACTACCTTCGCTATCCTCAGTGGCTCGACTCCATTACACGCCCCTATCCCAAAGCAGCTCCTGAGGTGTTGGGCGGCAAGGGGCATGGCAGGGCTGTGGACTGGTGGAGCCTAGGGATTCTCCTCTTTGAGATGGTGGTTGGTGTGGTGAGTTCATGGACAGGAATGTGGTTACTAAAGTCTGTTTCTGGGTCTGCTCAAAACTTATCGTTCCATCTGCACCTCCCCCACCTTGCATCAGTTTATCCTATCTCTCCTCTGCCCTCCCCTGGCCAGCATTCTATTCTCACAACCTTGCGGTTTGTCATTTCAAACTCTTGCATTGGTGTACCGTATTCCGATCTCCCATCTCCCTTACCCAGCCATCCTTCTGTAACCGCAAGGTGAACATAATGAACAACAAGATTGTGAATGCGCGCTGCTGGTCTACCCCATCACCATCACAGCGCCTTGGGAGGTTTTTCTCCCATCTCTCGTCTTCCTCCCACCCCCTTCCAGCCGCCCTTCTACGATCGCAACGTGAACATAATGTACAACAAGATAGTGAACGCGCCGCTGGTCTTCCCAGTCACCGTCACCAACTTCTACCTCCGTGATCTCATTTCCAAGGTGCAATACCCAATGATATACCTCTCAAGCCTTACTTTGCGTGCAAAAGGGTGATAAAGGCGTGCATACAAACATGTACAGGATGTGAGCTGGTCCATTAAATCGTAGTTTCCAACTACACCCCAAGTGCCCATTCAGCTCCTCCCATACCGCATGCAACTCTCCTTCACCCACTTCCCACTCATCTACCTACCCTCTCCCTGATCCTCTTTCCAGCTGCTGGTTCGGGAGCCGAGCCTGAGGCTCGGAGCGGGCCCGACTGATGCTGCAGAGATCATGAGGCACGAGTTCTTCAGGGGCATGGACTGGGACAGGTTATATGCCAGGGAGGTGCCTCCCCCGTTCGTGCCCACCAGCAAGGTGAGAGGGGTGGAGTAACGAGTTCCTTAGTGCCTCCCCCGTTACATGCCCAGCAGCATGGTAAGTGGGTAAAGTGACGTGTACTCCCGAGGCATGGACTGGGACAGGCTGTACGCCAGAGAGGTGCCTCCCCCGTTCGTGCCCAGCAGCAAGGTGAGAGGGGTGGAGTAACGAGTTCCTTAGTGCCTCCCCCGTTCGTGCCCAGCAGCAAGGTGAGCCAGGTGGATTGAGATTTGTTCTTTGCCCACACTTTGGTCTGAAACGTTTTACAGGGAGAGAGGTCCAGTTGGGACCTTGTTACGCGCCTCCCTTCCTTCGCTCCTACCCCGCACGGTGCTGAATTAGGGACTCACAGGGCATGCGGGACGTGTAAAACTTTGACTAAAACTTCAACAACCTTCACATCTGCAGTCCTTCGAAACCACCCTCCTCTTACCCTTCACAACTACAACAAAGTTTTGCCTTCTCCTCTGATCCCCTTACCCCTTTCCCACACTGTGCGGTGATGTCGACCCAGCAGGGCGTGGAGGACGTGTCAAACTTCGATAAGAGCTTCACCGGCCTCCACATCAGCGATCCTCTGGAGCCACCCGCCTCTGCTGCAGCGCCCACTGACAACCACCATGGTAACTGTATACTGCCCATCTAGTCGTACTTCCCCCCCCCTCCTCCCCCCCTCCTCCCCCCCCCCTCCCCCCCCACTCACTCCACGTGTTCAGCTTTCCTTGCGCCTTTTGTCACCTCCTATGTTGTCCACCTCCATTTACCCCCCTTCACCCCATCTTTCCCCTCCAAAATTTCGCCCTTCTACATCCCATTTGTCACCTCCTCTCCTTACCCTTCTCTCAAACCCCTCTCGCTCTCTCCTTACCTCCCTGTCTTCCCCTTCCACTCCCTGCATCCGCCTGATTCCAATTTGACTTGCAACATCTGCCAATGTGAATGCTTGCTTTTTGAGGCGCCTCAATGTGTACGCTTGCAGGTGCGACGAAGCCCACCAACGCCCCTGCAAAGGCCGGCCAGATCTCCTCCAATGATAAAGCTCCAGCTGGCGCTGACAAGGGGCATGCCGGGAAGACCGGAAACACAGGAGGTGGGGGAAAGATGGGGGGAGGTGCGAAACCGAATCTGAAGATTGATACACATGCAGCCTCGGGATTGGATCCACTTGACAACTCTCTGTTTGAAGGGTTTGTGTTCAGCCCTACCAAGAAAAACAGTGCCACAAGCCCTTCTGTGGTGTAGGTAACAAGTCACTTACAGACAACAGACAGAACATAGCAGCCTCGGGATTGGATCTGCTTGACAACTCCTCGTTTGAAGGGTTTGTGTTCAGCCCTACCTACAAGCACAGTGCAACCGGTCCTTCGTTGTAGATAGCAGGTAGCAACTCACTGCAGAGAAACTAACATCAGGAGATTATTCACAGTGCGACACACTGCCTATACCGTCTTTTGTTTGGAGTAGGTAAGTAGAGTACTAGCAGCCGTATGTCAATCAAACTGTTACGCTATGTATGCTGTATTTGGTTTTCATGAATGGCAATAATGTACAAAGCCCCTTCCATTGTAACATGTAGCACTGTACATATGCACGGCAACCCGCACTACGCAACTACCACTGCCACCCTATGATTGCTGGCAGCTAGCCAGATCTTAAAAAAAAAAATCTCACTAGCAGGGCAAGAGGCAAAAGATTTGTTCGCAGACGGAAGACCAGGCCATGTGCATGATTGGCAAAGGAAGCAGAAAAGAAGGAAGCAAGAAGGCAGCAGCAGCAGCCGCAGCAGCAGCCGCAGCAGCAATACCGCTTCAGCAGCTCATTGCCCTTTGCAGCAGGAGCAGTGGCCGGAGCCCTTTGCAGCAGGAGCAGTGGCAGGAGCAGTGGCAGCAGTGGCAGCAGTGGTGGCAGCGGCAGGTGGTGCAGCAGCAGCGGCAGCAGAGGACAGTTGGAGGGAGGGCCACCCAGCCCACAGGGGAAGGAGGCATCCAAATAATCTGCACAGTAACAGTTGCTCTGTCGATCCTTGCTCGTTGCAGCAGGTGCAGCAGCAGCAGGGGGTGCAGCGGAGGGGGAGTAGAGGTAGGTGCTGAGGACGGTGAGAGGGCAGGAAGCGTGCTGTTCAGAGCACATTAGCTCAGTAGCTTAGAGGTCCTTGCTCTTGGCAGCAGCAGGGGGTGCAGCGGAGGAGGAGTAGAGGTAGGTGCTGAGGACGGTGAGAGGGCAGGAAGCGTGCTGTTCAAAGCACATTAGCTCAGTAGCTTACAGGTCCTCGCTCTTGGCAGCAGCAGGGGGTGCAGCAGAGGAGGAGTAGAGGTAGGTGCTGAGGACGGTGAGAGGGAGGGAGGCATGTTGGCCAGAGCATACTAGCTCAGTAGCTTAGAGGTCCTTGCTCTTGGCAGCAGCAGGGGGTGCAGCGGAGGAGGAGTAGAGGTAGGTGCTGAGGACGGTGAGAGGGCAGGAAGCGTGCTGTTCAAAGCACATTAGCTCAGTAGCTTACAGGTCCTCGCTCTTGGCAGCAGCAGGGGGTGCAGCAGAGGAGGAGTAGAGGTGGGTGCTGAGGACGGTGAGAGGGAGGGAGGCATGTTGGCCAGAGCATACTAGCTCAGTAGCTTAGAGGTCCTTGCTCTTGGCAGCAGCAGGGGGTGCAGCGGAGGAGGAGTAGAGGTAGGTGCTGAGGACGGTGAGAGGGAGGGCCAGCCAGACAAAGAGGGAGGGAGGCGTGCCGTCGAGAGCATACTGTACTATGGCGGTTACCAGCAGACCCGCTATCACTGTGAAGCCCTGCGAGGGAAGGAGTGTGAGAGGGAGAAGGGAGGAACTTTGATATGAACTGGGAAGAGCATACTGCACTATGGCGGTTACCAGCAGACCCGCTATTACAGTGAAGCCCTGCGAGGGGGAAGGATGAAGGAGGGTGGGGAGACGAAGGGAGGAAGTTTGAGATTGGGAAGAGCAACGAAGCAAGGGTGAGAGGGAGGGTCAGGCAGACGAAGAGGGAGGGAGGAGTGCCATCGAGAGCATACTGTACTATGGCGGTTACCAGCAGACCCGCTATCACTGTGAAGCCCTGCGAGGGGGAAAGGATGAAGGAGGGTGGGGAGGCGACGGGAGGAAGTTTGAGATTGGGAAGAGCAACGAAGCAAGGGTGAGAGGGAGGGCCGGGCAGACGAAGAGGGAGGGAGGCGTGCCATCGAGAGCATGCTGCACTATGGCGGTTACCAGCAGACCCACTATCACTGTGAAGCCCTGCAAGAGGGAGGAATAAGGAATGTGGGAGAGGGAAAGAGAAGAGCCCTGAGGGAACTTGGAGAGAGCAGCAAGGGGAGGAAGGAGGGCAGCAAGGGGAGGAAGGAAAGCAGCAAGGGGAGGAAGGAGGGCAGCAAGGGGAGGAAGGAGAGCAGCAAGGGGAGGAAGGAGAGCAGCAAGGGGAGGAAGGAGAGCAGCAAGGGGAGGAAGGAAAGCAGCAAGGGGAGGAAGGAAAGCAGCAAGGGGAGGAAGGAGAGCAGCAAGGGGAGGAAGGAGGGCAGCAAGGGGAGGAAGGAGGGCAGCAAGGGGAGGAAGGAGAGCAGCAAGGGCAGGAAGGAGAGCAGCAAGGGGAGGAAGGAGAGCAGCAAGGGGAGGAAGGAGAGCAGCAAGGGGAGGAAGGAGAGCAGCAAGGGGAGGAAGGAGAGCAGCAAGGGGAGGAAGGAGAGCAGCAAGGGGAGGAAGGAGAGCAGCAAGGGGAGGAAGGAGGGCAGCAAGGGGAGGAAGGAGGGCAGCAAGGGGAGGAAGGAGAGCAGCAAGGGCAGGAAGGAGAGCAGCAAGGGGAGGAAGGAGAGCAGCAAGGGGAGGAAGGAGAGCAGCAAGGGGAGGAAGGAGAGCAGCAAGGGGAGGAAGGAGAGCAGCAAGGGGAGGAAGGAGAGCAGCAAGGGGAGGAAGGAGAGCAGCAAGGGGAGGAAGGAGAGCAGCAAGGGGAGGAAGGAAAGCAGCAAGGGGAGGAAGGAGAGCAGCAAGGGGAGGAAGGAGAGCAGCAAGGGGAGGAAGGAGAGCAGCAAGGGGAGGAAGGAAAGCAGCAAGGGGAGGAAGGAGAGCAGCAAGGGGAGGAAGGAGAGAAGCAAGGGGAGGAAGGAGAGCAGCAAGGGGAGGAAGGAGAGCAGCAAGGGGAGGAAGGAGAGCAGCAAGGGGAGGAAGGAGAGCAGCAAGGGGAGGAAGGAGAGCAGCAAGGGGAGGAAGGAGAGCAGCAAGGGGAGGAAGGAGAGCAGCAAGGGGAGGAAGGAGAGCAGCAAGGGGAGGAAGGAAAGCAGCAAGGGGAGGAAGGAAAGCAGCAAGGGGAGGAAGGAGGGCAGCAAGGGGAGGAAGGAGGGCAGCAAGGGGAGGAAGGAGAGCAGCAAGGGCAGGAAGGAGAGCAGCAAGGGGAGGAAGGAGAGCAGCAAGGGGAGGAAGGAGAGCAGCAAGGGGAGGAAGGAGGGCAGCAAGGGGAGGAAGGAGGGCAGCAAGGGGAGGAAGGAGAGCAGCAAGGGCAGGAAGGAGAGCAGCAAGGGGAGGAAGGAGAGCAGCAAGGGGAGGAAGGAGAGCAGCAAGGGGAGGAAGGAGAGCAGCAAGGGGAGGAAGGAGAGCAGCAAGGGGAGGAAGGAGAGCAGCAAGGGGAGGAAGGAGAGCAGCAAGGGGAGGAAGGAGAGCAGCAAGGGGAGCAAGGAGAGCAGCAAGGGGAGGAAGGAGAGCAGCAAGGGGAGGAAGGAGGGCAGCAAGGGGAGGAAGGAGAGCAGCAAGGGCAGGAAGGAGAGCAGCAAGGGGAGGAAGGAGAGCAGCAAGGGGAGGAAGGAGAGCAGCAAGGGGAGGAAGGAGAGCAGCAAGGGGAGGAAGGAGAGCAGCAAGGGGAGGAAGGAGAGCAGCAAGGGGAGGAAGGAGAGCAGCAAGGGGAGGAAGGAGAGCAGCAAGGGGAGCAAGGAGAGCAGCAAGGGGAGGAAGGAGAGCAGCAAGGGGAGGAAGGAGAGCAGCAAGGGGAGGAAGGAGAGCAGCAAGGGGAGGAAGGAGAGCAGCAAGGGGAGGAAGGAGAGCAGCAAGGGGAGGAAGGAGAGCAGCAAGGGGAGGAAGGAGAGCAGCAAGGGGAGGAAGGAGAGCAGCAAGGGGAGGAAGGAGAGCAGCAAGGGGAGGAAGGAAAGCAGCAAGGGGAGGAAGGAAAGCAGCAAGGGGAGGAAGGAGAGCAGCAAGGGGAGGAAGGAGGGCAGCAAGGGGAGGAAGGAGGGCAGCAAGGGGAGGAAGGAGAGCAGCAAGGGCAGGAAGGAGAGCAGCAAGGGGAGGAAGGAGAGCAGCAAGGGGAGGAAGGAGAGCAGCAAGGGGAGGAAGGAGAGCAGCAAGGGGAGGAAGGAGAGCAGCAAGGGGAGGAAGGAGAGCAGCAAGGGGAGGAAGGAGAGCAGCAAGGGGAGGAAGGAGAGCAGCAAGGGGAGGAAGGAAAGCAGCAAGGGGAGGAAGGAAAGCAGCAAGGGGAGGAAGGAGAGCAGCAAGGGGAGGAAGGAGGGCAGCAAGGGGAGGAAGGAGGGCAGCAAGGGGAGGAAGGAGAGCAGCAAGGGCAGGAAGGAGAGCAGCAAGGGGAGGAAGGAGAGCAGCAAGGGGAGGAAGGAGAGCAGCAAGGGGAGGAAGGAGAGCAGCAAGGGGAGGAAGGAAAGCAGCAAGGGGAGGAAGGAAAGCAGCAAGGGGAGGAAGGAGAGCAGCAAGGGGAGGAAGGAGGGCAGCAAGGGGAGGAAGGAGGGCAGCAAGGGGAGGAAGGAGAGCAGCAAGGGCAGGAAGGAGAGCAGCAAGGGGAGGAAGGAGAGCAGCAAGGGGAGGAAGGAGAGCAGCAAGGGGAGGAAGGAGAGCAGCAAGGGGAGGAAGGAGAGCAGCAAGGGGAGGAAGGAAAGCAGCAAGGGGAGGAAGGAGAGCAGCAAGGGGAGGAAGGAGGGCAGCAAGGGGAGGAAGGAGGGCAGCAAGGGGAGGAAGGAGAGCAGCAAGGGCAGGAAGGAGAGCAGCAAGGGGAGGAAGGAGAGCAGCAAGGGGAGGAAGGAGAGCAGCAAGGGGAGGAAGGAAAGCAGCAAGGGGAGGAAGGAGAGCAGCAAGGGGAGGAAGGAGGGCAGCAAGGGGAGGAAGGAGGGCAGCAAGGGGAGGAAGGAGAGCAGCAAGGGCAGGAAGGAGAGCAGCAAGGGGAGGAAGGAGAGCAGCAAGGGGAGGAAGGAGAGCAGCAAGGGGAGGAAGGAGAGCAGCAAGGGGAGGAAGGAGAGCAGCAAGGGGAGGAAGGAGAGCAGCAAGGGGAGGAAGGAAAGCAGCAAGGGGAGGAAGGAGAGCAGCAAGGGGAGGAAGGAGAGCAGCAAGGGGAGGAAGGAAAGCAGCAAGGGGAGGAAGGAAAGCAGCAAGGGGAGGAAGGAGAGCAGCAAGGGGAGGAAGGAGGGCAGCAAGGGGAGGAAGGAGGGCAGCAAGGGGAGGAAGGAGAGCAGCAAGGGCAGGAAGGAGAGCAGCAAGGGGAGGAAGGAGAGCAGCAAGGGGAGGAAGGAGAGCAGCAAGGGGAGGAAGGAGAGCAGCAAGGGGAGGAAGGAGAGCAGCAAGGGGAGGAAGGAGAGCAGCAAGGGGAGGAAGGAAAGCAGCAAGGGGAGGAAGGAGAGCAGCAAGGGGAGGAAGGAGAGCAGCAAGGAGAGCAACCAGAGAAAGAGAAAGGGAGGCATGCTGTCTATAGCGGGGGCATGCTGTCTATAGTGGGGGCATGCTGTCTATAGCGGGGGCATGCTGTCTATAGCGGGGGCATGCTGTCTATAGCGGGGGCATGCTGTCTATAGCGGGGGCATGCTGTCTATAGCGGGGGCATGCTGTCTATAGCGGGGGCATGCTGTCTATAGCGGGGGCATGGTGTCTATAGCGGGGGCATGCTGTCTATAGCGGGGGCATGCTGTCTATAGCGGGAGCATGCTGTCTATAGCGGGGGCATGCTGTCTATAGCGGGGGCATGCTGTCTATAGCGGGGACATGCTGTCTATAGCGGGGGCATGCTGTCTATAGCGGGGGCATGCTGTCTATAGCGGGGGCATGCTGTCTATAGCGGGGGCATGCTGTCTATAGCGGGGGCATACTGTCTATAGCGGGGGCATACTGTCTATAGCGGGGGCATACTGTCTATAGCGGGGGCATACTGTCTATAGCGGGGGCATACTGTCTATAGCGGGGGCATGCTGCACTAAGGTGGCCACCAGCAGATCCCCCCACTCCCCCTCTTTTTCTCCCCCTTTTCTGCATCTCCCCCTCCCCGCCCCTTTCCCCTTCACTCGCAACCAGCATACCTTCTTAACGCCCCCTGCGTATTTGGTCACAAGACCCACGAGAATGCCCCCTATGGCGTTTGACAGAGCTGGGATCTGGGAGGTGACCATGCATGCGGGGTGGGGGTGGGGGTGGGGTTGGGGGTGGGGGTGGGGGTGGGGTTGGGGTTGGGGGTGGGGGTGGGGGTGGGGTTGGGGTTGGGGGTGGGGGTGGGGGTGGGGGTGGGGGTGGGGTTGGGGTTGGGGGTGGGGGTGGGGGTGGGGGTGGGGTTGGGGTTGGTGTTGGGGTTGGGGGTGGGGGTGGGGGTAAAATGATAGTGGGGATAGAGGAAGGGGATAGACAGGAGAAGGCACATTTCGCCACAAGACACACGAGAATGCCCCCTAAAAATGTTTGACAGCACTGGAACCCGGGGGATGGGGGCAGGCCACAGGGTAAGGGGTAGGAGATGTGGTGCGTGAGTGGGGGTGAGGGCTTGATAAGATGATAAAAGAGATGTTTTGAGACGTCTCAAAACATCTCTTTTATCACGTGTTTGACAGCACTGGAACCCGGGGGATAGGGTGAGGGCAGGCCACAGGGTAAGGGGTAGGAGATGTGGTGCGTGAGTGGGGGTGAGGGCTTGATAAGATGAGAAGGTGATACTGAGAGGGGGATTATGAGATGAGATGCAATTATGAGAGAAATTACAGATGAGATGCAATTATGAGAGAAATTACAGATGAGATGCAATTATGAGAGAAATTACAGATGAGATGCAATTATGAGAGAAATTACAGATGAGATGCGTAAGGGTCAGGTGGGTAGAGAGCGAGGGGGGGAAGCATGAAAGAACGTTTCTCCACAATGGTGAGGGACAGGTGCATGCTACATGTTGATGACTCACAGCAAGCGCACAAGGGTAATGAATATATTTCGAGGTGACTTAAACCACGCGTGGTTTAACATGATGAAGGCGTAGTTCAAGGCGTGGTTCAAGGCGTGGTTCAAGGCGTGGTTCAAGGCGTGGTTCAAGGCGTGGTTCAAGGCGTGGTTCAAGGCGTGGTTCAAGGCGTGGTTCAAGGCGTGGTTCAAGGCGTGGTTCAAGGCGTGGTTCAAGGCGTGGTTCAAGGCGTGGTTCAAGGCGTGGTTCAAGGCGTGGTTCAAGGCGTGGTTCAAGGCGTGGTTCAAGGCGTGGTTCAAGGCGTGGTTCAAGGCGTGGTTCAAGGCGTGGTTCAAGGCGTGGTTCAAGGCGTGGTTCAAGGCGTGGTTCAAGGCGTGGTTCAAGGCGTGGTTCAAGGCGTGGTTCAAGGCGTGGTTCAAGGCGTGGTTCAAGGCGTGGTTCAAGGCGTGGTTCAAGGCGTGGTTCAAGGCGTGGTTCAAGGCGTGGTTCAAGGCGTGGTTCAAGGCGTGGTTCAAGGCGTGGTTCAAGGCGTGGTTCAAGGCGTGGTTCAAGGCGTGTGCTACGTGATGAATCACGATGGAGAGGGGCGTGATGAATCACGATGGAGAGGGGCGTCAGATTCTTAGTCGACTAAAACATCACTGTAGCAACTCGCAGTAGAGCTTGAGAGGGTGAATGCATGCACGCATGCATGCTGACTTACGATGGTGAGGGGCGTCCAGGCGTGGAAGAAGCCGAGTTGCAGCATGCGGGCGCCGTCTTGGGAGGAGAAGAGAGAGACGAGGAGGACGAGGGACGTGAGGGAACACATTTCGATGGTGAAGAGGTGGGGACTGCGCCTCTTGACCTGGAAGACAAGACAATACAAGATGGAATGGGGAGGTATGCATTGACGAGACGAGAATCAGAGAGCAGAATCTTGGGGGGAAAGGAGGGGAGAGGTGGGAGACGAGGAGGGCTAGAGTCATGCCGGAACACATCTCAATGATGAATAGATGGGGGATGCACCTCTTGACATGGGATGATATGAAGCGAGAGGGCAAGATGGAGGGGGGAGGTAAGACGAGACGAGCGCTATCTTGGGAGGAAAGGAGAGGTTGAGGAGGAGGGGGACGAGGAGGACGAGGGACGTGAGGGAACACATCTCGATGGTGAACAGGTGGCGGCTGCGCCTCTTGACCTTCACGAACAACGTTGGAGCCTCCAACTTGGAGGTGGGAGGCAAGCAGTGACACGACACGACGATTTTTTTGAGGTTGATTTTGAGAATTCTCAAAACCAACAACTTGGAGGTGGGAGGCAAGCGCCTTTTGAGATGTCTCAAAAATGGAGTCTCCAACTTGGAGGTGGGAGGCAAGCAGCGACACGACGCCACGACACAGGCTTGGAACTTGCTGAATAGGAAGCGAATGATATTCAGAGAGATGAGGAGTAGAGATGTGAGGGGGCATATGCCGATGGTGAACACATGGACGGCTGCACCTCTAGTTTTGAGACGTCTAGTTTTGAGGCGTGAGGGGGCATAAGCCGATGGTGAACACATGGAGGGCTGTGCGCCTCTTGACCTGCAGATACAAGTGCTCTAAGATCACTTGTGCAAATTCTCATAAGTGTCAACTTGCAGTTGCGGGCTGTGCCTAATGAAGCGCGGCCTGTGCTTTCTCACATCACAAGTCAGACACGACACACGCGCACGCACCTGCACTTGCCACTGGTTGTGCGTCGATCCCAGCCCAGTTGTCACTGACGCCACCAGCACCGGTACCACTCCCCTTTCCCATGCCACGCCTGCACCCGCAGCTGCAGCAGCAGTAGCCACTCCGCAGCCACAGAACCCCCCACACACGCACGGACGCACCTGCACTTGCCACTGGTTGTGCGTTGACCCCAGCCCAGACGTCACAGACGCCACCAGCACCACTCCCAGCGCCACTCTCTCCCACACCACGCCTGCACCTGCAACGGCAGTAGCAGTGGCTCTGCATCCACTGGGGTGACTTTTGAGTCGACTCAAAAGTCACGGCAGTAGCAGTCACACTGCATGCACCAATGTGACTTTTGAGTCGTGTTCTAAGACGACCCAAAACACGGCTTAACACACATTTGAGTCGACTCAAAAGTCACGGCAGTAGCAGTCACACTGCATGCACCGCACAAATCGAACCCCACACTCACGCATACACGCACCTGCACTTGCCACTGATTGTGCGTGGACCCCAGCCCAGTCGTCACAGACGCCATCAGCAGTGCTTTGAGTAACATATTACAACCCCACCACCACCCCCAAACACACGCGCACGCACCTGCCCTTGCCACTGGTTGTGCGTTGACCCCAGCCCAAACGTCACTGAAGCCACCAGCACCGGCACCACTTCCGGTGCCACTCTCTCCCACGCCGCGCTGACTGCAGCAACAGCTGCAGCAGCACCCGCACCTACAGCCACAGCACAGTCAGATGCCTGCACACATGTACGCACCTGCACTTGCCACTGGTTGTGCGTCGATCCAAGTCCAGACGTCACCGATGCCACCAGCACCGGCACCACTCCCAGCGCCACTCTCTCCCACGCCACGCCTCCTGCAAAAACAGCCACCGCAGCAGCCGTGCCAGCAGAAGCAGAAGACCCCTGCCCTGCTCCGTCCGCCCCAACCGCTCCCCTCTCTGGTCCACTGCTTCCCTGAGACTGCCCGCGCCCAGAGCTAGAAGCAGGGCCAGGGCCAAGGGTGAGCAGGGTGGCAGCGACGAGCAGCATGCAGAGAGCGAGGATTTGCACTCGGGTCTGGCGGATTCTGTGATAAGGAGTGAGAGGAAACGAGGAAACAGAGGCGGAAAAGGTTGAGATGTTGGGTAGGAAGGACCATGTTTTTCTCTCCTTGCAGCAACAAGCAGCACGCAGAGGGCGACGATATGAAATCGGGTCTGGCGGATTCTGTGATGACAAGTGAGAGAAGACAGGAGAGGGAAAGGCTGAGAGGATGGAATGGGAAGGAACAAAGGTCGTTTGTTCTCTATCCCTTCCTCCCCTCGCAGCGTCAAGCGGCAGGCAGAGAGCAATGATTTGCGGTCGGGTCTGGCAGACTCTCACAAGCTTCCCACCTTTACTCGTTCCTTCTTACGTGAGAAACAAGTAGTTGGACAGTGCCAAGCAAAGAAGCTATTTGGGAATCACTTTTGAGAATTCTCAAAAGAAGTAGTTGGACAATGCCAAGAAAAGAAGCTTCGTCTGGTTCAGCAGGTTGAGGGTGAGATAGTCCAGGTGACGCAAGGCCACCTGGATGAGCTGTGTTCTGAATGAGACGGCCCCCTTCCCACCTCTTTCCATGTGACCTCGTACATTCTTTCCTGAGGAACAGGTGGTTGGAGAGGCTTTTGAGAATTCTCAAAAGCGACGGCCCCCTTCCCACCTCTTTCCATGGGACCTCGTTCATTCTTTCCTGAGGAACAGGTAGTTGGAGAGGGCGGTAAAGAGAAGCTTCGTCTGGTTCAGCAGGTTGAACGTGAGATAGCCCAGCCGAGGTGCTGCAAGGCCACCTCTTTCTTACCTCTTTCTTACCTCTTTCTTACCTCTATCCCACTTTACCTCGTTCCCTCTTACCTGAGAAACAAGTAGTTGGAGAGAGCAGTGAAGAGCAGTTTGGTCTGGTTCAGCAGGTTGAAGGTGAGATAGTCCAGGTGGCGCAACGCCACCTGGATGAGCGTGTTCTGGGCGGCATACAGCAGTCCCGGTACCGCAGCAGCTTCTAACGAGTCCAGAGGGTGCCAGTTGCGCCAGACGGTGAAGAGAGAGCCGTCTAGGAACATGGCCGTGAGAGCTATTAGGACCTGATAGGGTGGGGGGGGGGGGGGTAAAGAGGGGTGTGAGTGATCACTGTTGTTACCTCGTGGAGGCACGAAGGGAAAGAGAAGGCGAGGAAGGAAAGAGAAGGCGAGGAAGGAAAGAGAAGGCGAGGAAGGAAAGAGAAGGCGAGGAAGGAAAGAGAAGGCGAGGAAGGAAAGAGAAGGCGAGGAAGGAAAGAGAAGGCGAGGAAGGAAAGAGAAGGCGAGGAAGGAAAGAGAAGGCGAGGAAGGAAAGAGAAGGCGAGGAAGGAAAGAGAAGGCGAGGAAGGAAAGAGAAGGCGAGGAAGGAAAGAGAAGGCGAGGAAGGAAAGAGAAGGCGAGGAAGGAAAGAGAAGGCGAGGAAGGAAAGAGAAGGCGAGGAAGGAAAGAGGGCCTGTGCGGGTGGTACGGGGACGAGGTGGTAGAAAGTTCACACAATTGGAAAGGGAAATCGCTTGAGGAGAGGCAAGGGGTTTTCGAGGAGGGGAAATTCACTCCGAATTCAGGAGGAGAGGCAAGGTGGGAAACCCCTTGCCTCTCAATTCCTGTTTTCAGGCAGAGGATACCAGAAGCCTACTGCGAATTCTTGAGGCGCAACCAAAACAATAGGCGACTACTGAAGAGCCTCAAAAGAGGTGGAGTGGAGGGGCAGGAAAGGGGGAGGGGTACTCGAGGCGGGGGTGATCACCTTGAGGACTTTGCAGGTAATGACTTGACTCGCTATCAGCACGTTGCGACTGTAGCGGCGCAATCTGAGAAAGAGGCGACTACATACTGAGGAGCCTCAATAGAGGTGGAAAGGCAGGGTAGGTTCGGGAGGTGATCACCTTGAGCACTTCGCAGGTGATGACTTGACTCGCTATCATTACGTCGCGACTGTAGGATTGGGGGATCAATGCGCGTTGCAGGGTGCGAGGGAGGGGAGGGGAGGGGAGGGGGAAACACAGTTGAGAAAAGAGTAGGACTGTCAGGACAGCTGGGGAAGAAACCACTTTTGAGAATTCTCAAAAGTGATTTCAATCTGGGAGGGGGAAATACACTTGAGGAAAGAGTAGAACAGACAGGACAGCTGGGGAAGAAACGCAAGGTGCAAGGGGAATCGAGGCACGACCAAGCAACAGACAACGCCGCACGAGGCGGATAAAGAAGGCGCGGTCTGCATTCGCACGCATCCATCACCTTAGCAGCTTCCTCGTGAGAATCGGCTGCAGGCCATACTGCAACGCCAGAAGAACCATGCAAATCAACGCCTTGCTGTTAGCAGCTCCTCCTGTCGCTCCTCGTCCGTGGATTCCGCTACGATCCGTGAATCGCGCTTTTTCCATCCCATCGGTACCATGTCTCGTCCCCTCCTTTCCATTCGCAAGTCCGTTCTGAGAATTCTCGAGAAACGATTTCGCCTCCCCATTGACGAATTTCACTGTTTCTCTTTCTTCCTGCGCCGCAACTCGCGGCTCGTCAGATTCTGGCTCGTGCCGCTCGAGCCGCGGTCGACTTCTGGACGTCGCCGTCGCCGAATCTGGCTCTCGCGAGCCGTTAACGGCGCGATTTTCCGTGACGGAACCCGTCTCATATAACGCATCTTGTCGGGTCGCGCTGACAGCCGCCGACTTCCTTGCTCGCATTTCCATGTCGGGTAATCTAACGACCATTTCTTTCGGGCTAGGTTCAAGTCAGCCTACAGAATCTCACAGGTTTCTCATATCACTGCAAATCGTACGGAATTAGTACCGATCCCGTTTTCCGGTGATGGATGCGAGAAAGTTACGATCGATACATTCATATATCAGTATCTACTAAGTACAGCAGGGTCAGAAAGTTACGGTTAGCAGCCCACACTACAAGCCTCACAGCCACCCAATGTCTCTGTCTTCCCTATGCCTTGGCTCCTGGGCTATTACGTGCATGCTCCGCAACCATACAGTAACACCCAAAACTCCGTTCATGTGATGCCAGTGCCACAAGCTGGTTGCTCTTGGCGTCCCTTCATCTCCTCTTCACAACCACACAGCCAGCCCCCCCCCCGTCGACTCCCAACCACAGGGCACAGCCACGGCACGGCAGCACCGTTCGTGCTGCTGCTGCACCAACAACCGCTTTCTCCCCGCCAAGTCAAGGGGCGAAGGCCTCAATTCACGAGTTTCACGACCTTCAGGAAGTTCCGTCATTGGCTGCGATAGCAGGGAAGAACTTTCTAAAAGCTTTCGTGGTTGTTCGTAAGAGTTACGCGCCTTGACGCTGCGATTTCAGTGAAGGGGTTCCAGTGAGAGAAGACCACCCCAACTTTTTGCGAGCTGAAATGTTATCGCCATAACGCTGCAAACAAAGTAGAGGATAAAAGTTTTTGGTTTGAATATTTGGTTTTTCCAGGGCGTAGGTAGAGAACGAAATATCATGTACGGTTCTCTGATGGTATTTATGTAAGCACGAACGACAACAACGTTACCATCTGCAGCGACATATTCGTGTCCAACAATGAGGCACGGTGCAAAGAAATGACACTCTAAGTGAACTTGCAGTGCTGACCCGACTGTCGCTAACTCAATTCAGAGAAGTTTTGCCTTTGGAAACCGCGTCTCAATCAAATCCGCCAGCCACCAAGCCTCGAGGTTTCTACAGTATCTGTTCACTAGGCTCCGGTGATTCCAGACCAGAGCGAGGAACACGGGAAACAGGGACCATAGGGATTATGGAACTGAGGACATATGCCGCATCGCACAAGACCCGCAACCAATTCGCCATCGCGTTTGTGGAGGGGTCGTTCTCCTCAATTGAGAGATCCTGGGCGAGCACGTCTTGGATTGAACGACGTGAATTCAATTTCTATTGAGACGCAAAATGGTTCGAGTCGTTCGTTTTTCCCTCTCCAGACATTCCTTCCCTATACCTCCTCGAGCCGCGTGTTTTTCTCTTCTTGAGCCGATGAAAGTGCTTATTCTTCTGGGAATCGTCGCCAGGCTCTGTGGTTTAAATATGGACTACCATAACCAACGGATTAGGCACTTGAGATTGCGTCATCTCGCGCGTCTGAGAATCCGATCCTTCAGCGAATCTGACGCTCGGTGCAAACGCCCCTGCTCACCGCGTTTTACCATCTCTCGCCGCGTTTTACCTCTTATCACCACCCGTTACTCCTCCACACCGTGAAGCGCATGGCCTCCTCTTCTGAGCAAGCGATGCAACGGTACGTTTGTCACTGAATGATTCAAGCCGTCCAGTCGTCGTTATCACAGCAGTTCGTTACAGTCTGCTTGACAGGGCGATGGTGACGACACTCCTCCTTCCTTGCTTCCATCCTTGTTTCCGTCCCTAGTAATTTTTATACTGTCCGTATTTAGTCGACTCAAAAACAGCTTCCATCCTTGGTTCCGTCCCTAGTACTTTTCATACTGTCGTATGAAACCCGTGTACCTTTTGAGACGTATCAAATGCTCAACTTAATTCGCCTCTATCCTCTATCCACACGCCTCATAGAATCGTGACCGTGAAGGTGCCTTGTTCTCTTTCCTTTTCTGCGCGTGACTTGCATTGTTTCTCCCTGTGCAGGTGCTTCGTGCTGCTGCTCCTCCTGGTGCTGCTCGTTCTGCCCATGATCGCATCTCTGGCCGATGCAGCGAACATGAACGTGACCTCAAGTCGACCTAGAGCTGCCGGCCCTGATGACTCTCCTCTTGTCCTTTCTGTGTGTGTCCATCTTATCGTTTTCCCCCGAACAGGTACTATGTGTTCCTGCTCCTCCTGGTGCTGCTCGTTCTGCCGATGCTCGCGTCTCTGGCCGATGCAGCTTACACGAACGTGACCTCGAGCCGACCTAGAGCTGCTGGTCCTGATGGCTCTAGCACTCCTCCCGGCACCACTACTCCTCTCGGCACCACCACTCCTCCTGCCACCACCACTCCTCCCGGCTCCACCACTGATGAAGATGATAGCACTGATGGCGGAAGCTTCACCGTCAGCAGCGGCAACAACAGCAGCAGCCCAAGCGGCAGCAACGGCAGTAGCGCCAGCAGCAACAGCAGTGGCAGTGGTGGCAGCACAAGTGGCAGCAGCGGCAGCGGCAGCGGCAGCGGCAGCGGCAGCAGCAGCGGCAAGGGCAAGCCCGGTGCCAGCTCCCCCACCAGTGATTCCGTCCTACGGCTGCAACGTGGACTTCACCTCCCTCTCCAACGGGAACATCACATGTACGTTTTCATCGCCTGACAGCCTCACCTCCTCTCCTCTATCCCCCTTTTTCTTTCGCTTGTGCATTCCCTGATCTCGTACAATACGTGCGGATCGCTCAGCCTGCTTTGGACCGTCTCCATTGCCAGACGTATGCTGCAGGAGCTGAGCTGCTCACCTCCTCGCTTGCGTCTTGCTCTTCCTTGTGTTTATGCATCCCTTGTGCCTGTCCGTTCCCTCCAGCTCTCTATGCCTGCTCTGGCCCGTCTCCATCGCTAGACGTGCGCTGCAAGAGGAGTTGCTCACCTCCTCTCCTGCCTCTTCCTTTTCCTTGTCCTTTTGAGCTATCTGTGCTTGCACATTCCGTCCAGCTCTGTTTGTCCAGCTCGGGCAATTTCCCTTCAGAAGGGATTACCTCACCTCACTGCCTCACCTCACTGCCTCATCTCCTCTCTTACCTCTTCCTTTCCCCTGTTGCTCATGCCTGCTCGTACGTTCCTTCAGCTCTCTCGGCCTGCTCTGGCCCATCCCCATCGCCAGACGCGTGCTGTGCACCGCTCCTGGAGTTCCAGAGGAGCTTCGCTGTGAGGGAGCCCATGTTCTTCCTCGCCATCACCACCCAGCCCGAGCTCAACACTCCGTGCAGGAAGGTAAGAGGTCTCACATATCGCTCTTCGGTTGTTCGAGAGTATCAGAGAAGCTTCGCGATGAGGGAGCCCATGTTCTTCCTCGCTATCACCACCCAGCCCGAGCTTAGCACCCTTTGCAGGAAGGTAAGATGTTTGAAGAACTTAAGAGGTCTTAGAGAACTCTCTTGTAGTTCTAGAAGAGCAGAGGAGCTTCGCAACGAGGGAGCCATGATCCTAACGAAAGGATGCCACGTGTGCAGCAGTTTGTGGGGGATGTTGCGTGTGGGGTACATGCAGGTACGGAGTCCGGCTCCCATGAACTGCTGCACACGTGGCACCCTTTTGTTGGGGTCATGGCAAACACTTCCTCCCTCACGACTTGAGAAACATGGCGTCCTCATCTCATGGGCATCTTTGATTTTCAAACCGATCATTGTTTCTCCTACTTTACCATCTCCCCTCCCTGCCCGTCCTTGTTCCCCACCCACTATTCCTGCACTTTCCCTCTTCCCCACCTTCTGTCACTTTCTCCCCTTCCTCTACCCTCCCTTCTGCCTTTGACTCTGCCCCTCCCTCTTCCCCACCTCCTGTCCCACAATCCCCTCCCTCTGCACCTCCCTTTGTCCCTTCCTCTTCCCCTCCTTGTGCCCCTCTGTCTACTCCTCCTTCTGCTCCTCCCCCTTTCCTCCCTCTGCATCTCCCTCTACTCCACACCCGTATCCTCCCAAGCTCGCCTGGAGTCATCCCCTGTCCTTCCTCGCATCACTATTGACTCGCATCACCCGACTGCTCCTCTCCTCCCTCATCCGCGCCCCAGTCTCTCCAGGTGGCAGGCGCATATGCAGGCGTCACCTGTCGGCCCATGCGTCACTGCCAACGACCGGATTTCCAACACTTCCCAAATCCGTTTCTTGTGGGTCTCTCTGCTCCTCTCCCTTCCTTTTCTGCTCCCCAGTCCCTCCAGGCGCATCTGCAGGCATCACCTGTGCGTCCTCGCATCACTGCAAACGTCTTCTCCCTCTGCAACCCCCCCGCAAACGCCTCCTCCTCCTCCTCCGCCTCTTCCTCCTCTCGTCGCAGTCTGCTTCCTCTGGTGGCTGTCGACCCGCCAAGCAACAAGTGCCCCGTGGTGTGGGTGCAGGACGTTGATCGACTGTAAGTGTCATGTCAATAAAAACATGTTTGATGGAAACATGGGTGGTAACTCTCTCAACAACAAGGTACCCTCCTCCTCTCGCCACAGTATGCTCCCTCCCTCTGCTGGCTGTGGATCCCCCAAGCATTAAGTGCCCCGTGGTGTTGGTGCAGGACGTTGATCAACAAGTGCCCCGTGGTGTTGGTGCAGGACGTTGATCAACAAGTGTGGTTAATAGAAAAGAATGCAAGCAGTCAGATGTGTTGTTGACCCTTGTGTTTCTCTCACAGTCCAAGCATCCCTTAAATGCCCTCCCCCTCTCCCTTCCCTCCTGCTCCCGCAGACAGATGTATCTTGTCCGGCCAAGGCATGCGCCTCCGCAGATACTGCCTGTATCTTGTCCTGCCTCCCTATCATCCCTCCCTCCGCTCTTCCCCTGCATCCTCCCTCCTCCCTCCCCTTCTGCCCCCTTGCAGTCAGAACGTCTCTCGCCTGGCCAAGGCCTGCTCCTCTGCAGATACAGCCTGCTCCAGATGCGCCTCCACCCTGTCCGCCGCAGCTGCGGCCCTGGCTCGCTACAGCCCGGCTGTAGTGGCTCGCACAGCAGCGAGGGGAAGTGGGGGAAGTGCGGGTAACGCAACCATGGCGGCTGGTGGAACCACCACTGCACCGTCTGAAGCGGTCATGAACGACTGTGCCCGAGTGACATTCGTGAGGGTTGCCCAGGCCCAGGTATGTTCCTTTTCCTTTCTTTGTCCTCCTCTTGTCTGCCCTGTCTCGACACTGCCCGGCTGTGGAGGCGTGCATTTCAGCAAAGGGAAGCGGCAGTAGTAACGCAACCAACACCCTCCTTTTTGACAATTCGCCTCTTCTGCCCCTGTGTTTGCTGTTTGTCTCCAGAGCTGGCGAGCGGCACCAGGGCTTGTAACTCTGCAGCTAGACTGCCCCATTGTGTAGCCCTAACCCTCTGAGGATCCACCCTCCTGCCATCGGCGGCAATTCTTCTCTGGGTCACCTACCGTATATAGAGTGGATTCCGTAGCCAGATGTTAGTGATTGTGGGTACGATGGGCTTTTACCGCTGCTATTGCGCAGCTGTACATTCTGTAGGGGGTGCTGTACACTTCATGCTTGTGTGACGTGGGCAATGTTACGAATATATGATTTTTGTCTTCATCCATATACACCGATATACAAGCTACTGGAACATTAATATCTGCACAAAGGATAGCTTAGCAAGCCCCTTGCCGGCTCAATGTACACATGCTGGGTACGCGCAGCAAGCGAACAGCTCTTGCTCTCACAAACAAAGCTGGAAATGACAACGACTCGCCCTGCAACGGTGGGATGGGGATGGGATGGGGATGGTATGGTGGGGAGGGTTGCAGTTCAGACAGCAGGGTAACTCCCATTCAGGTTCACCGTCAAGGGTAGAGCTAATGCATACATGCCCTTCCATGTACAACACACAATGCACGGCCTACCATGCATGGCCAATCATCCCATGCATGGCCCTTCATCCCATGCATGGCCCTTCATCCCATGCATGTCCCATCATCCCATGCATGGCCCATCACACAGCTTACCAGATGTAAAAGCAGGAAACAAGGGGAGGTAGGGGAGAATTACGAAGAGGAGGGAGACATCGGGGGGGAGGGTGGAGGAGGAGGGGGGGGGGGAGGGAGGAGGGGAAGGGGGAGGAGAGGAGGAGGGGAAGAGGGAGGATAGGAGGTAGGGTGAGAGAAGAGGGTGGTGAACCGCACCATGGCCGTTTCAGTGGAAGCTGCAGTGACAGTGCAGCTGCAGTTTACAATGAGGCAATGACATCAGGGAACGCAGGGCGAGCCGGGAGATGGATGGAAACGGATATTAGAACCGCTGCGGATACGGCTAATACAGATTTGGCTGAGGAATCAAAGTAGAGATCGAAAGCAGTGAGGAACGGAACTTTCTCGCACTGAGGCCCGAGCCGGAGCAATCGGACGGCAGTGAAACGAAACAAAATCCGCTACCCTGATTGATTAACTGAGGCGCTCTCAGCGATTAGTGATTTCAAGCGGTGCCGTCAGGTCCGACAGAGCGAGCGAGTAAAGCTCGCGAACGCACTTAAGCCTGTGATCGCAGTCTGAGAGCACGCCTTTAATCCGCAAGTCGTTTAAGAGCTCCAACTCCACCGCGCGCCCGATCGCAGACCGCGCCGCCTCGACCGCGCGCGACAGCCCTAATCCACCCGCTGCGCTCTCCCTCTCCACTGCCTCTGCTGCTCCGGACAGCCCTACTCTCTCTGGACCTAACGGTGCAGGAAAGGAAGCGCTGTCGAAACGCGCGGGTTTCGTGCACGCGTCGGTCGCCATTGTGGATTCTTTTCAATCAGAAAAGGCCCCTCCTAATCAGCTCGAACACAGGACTTGGAAGGCTGCGTGGGGTTTTCCCAACTCGATAGTTGGCTCCGATAAAACCCGGGTTCTGCGAAAGTTTCGCTTAAGTGCATAAGGAAAAGGCTAGCAGAGCAGGCCAACAGCCTCAAATATAGCATAATAAAATAATAAACATAATAAATCAATTAAATATACCAATACAATGAATGTCATCTCGAGCATGCGATGCAACCATCTATAACCGAATTGACTTCTCAAGACAGAAACCCAACATTTGTTGGATTCGGCTATGATTGTCTTGAGATATAATTCCTGCCCTGGCCAAGCAAGCAAGCACTTCATGTAAGGGTGAAGGCTTTAATCCATGGATGCTCTGTTGCAATATTCGATTCACATTGTTGAGTTGTTTACAGTGCAGAGTTGCACAGACAATACATGGGGGACGAGGTTGGGGACAAGGGGAAGGAATAGGGAGGAGGATAGACGGAAAAAGCTTTAGAGAGTGGTTTGACAACGAATCACTACATGAAAACGAGGTTACAGTACTGAAGGGGACCTTAAAGAAAGAGAAGGTACAAAAACAAAAGGGTTTTCAAAATCTCAAACAATGGGAGAGATGGGGAAGGGGGAAAGGGGGGAGCACCTCACAGCACCTTACAGCATCTCTCAGCAAAGCACAGCAGAGCACAGAACAGCACAGCACAGAACACCAGAGCACAGAACAGCACAGCACAGAACACCAGAGCACAGCACAGCACAATATGGCACAGCACGGTATAGCAACCCAGAGTACAGCACTGTACTGGTAACGCTGATAGTTGGAGTGAGCAACAATGCATGCAGCCTTCAAGCAACCTTGCAATCAGCCCCACAGACAACCCACATGCCAACAATGCCTACTCACTCAGTATCTCCGGGACGGTTATCCGCTCGTCGAACCTCCGGCACAGCATCCGCCGAACCAAGTCCTTTGCCGCGGCAGACACGTCCGGCCAAGGCTCGGTCTCCAGATCCAACGGCTCGTGCAAAATACTCGAGAAAATCTCCTCCGTCGAATCTCCCCAGAACGGCGGCAGCGCGCTCAGCATGACATAGAGAATCACCCCTAGACTCCACACATCCGCCTCGGTTCCGTAATTCTTCGCGATGACTTCCGGGGCGATGTAGTTGGGAGTGCCGGCACGTTGGGTGCAGCGTTCTCCTTCTTGGAAGCGATAGGCCATGCCAAAGTCTATGAGCTTCACACGCGTGTCGCTGCGGGAGGAGACGAGGAGCACGTTCTCGGGCTTTAAGTCGCGGTGGAGGATGCGCTGGGAGTGGCAGTAGCGGAGCACATCGGCGAGGGTGCGGCACACCTGCTTGGGAGAGCAGAGAAGGGAACAGCAGAGAAGGGAACAGCAGAGAAGGGAACAGCATGGCACAGCACAGCATAGATTGAGCTTCCAGATGTGCTGTTCAATCAAGAGGTGAAACTCATATGCCAGGGAGGGTGGAGCATGCGCTGGGAGTGGCAGTAGCGCAGCACGTCGGCCAAAGTGCGCCACACCTGCATGGAATAGAACAGCACCGCACAGAAGAGCAGAGCAGAGCACAGCACAACACCCGAGGAGCAGGTTTCAGGCTTTAAGTTGCGGTGGAGGATGCGGGGGAGGGCGGAGAATTCTCAAAAATACACTCAAGAGCTGCCCATTCAGACTCAAGAGCTGCCCATTCAGACACTGCAGGGTATTCTTGAGAATTCTCGAAAATACCCTCAAGAGCTGCCCTTTCAGACTCAAGAGCTGCCCACTCCGACTCAAGAGCTGCCCACTACGACTCATCATCTTTTCGCTCACGAAGCCCACCTGCGCTGCCTGGCGCTCTTTGTAGTGCTTCCGCGAAACAATGCGGTCGAATAGCTCTCCCCCCTCGCACAGCTCCATCACTATGTGCACGTGCTGAGAGGGGGGAGGGAGGGAGGGGGGAAGAGATGGGAGGTGGGTTGTTGGGAGGAGAGGAGAGCCCCGTCATGCAAGGCACGCTCGCTCAATCGATGCGGTCAAAGAGCTCTCCGCCCTCGCACAGCTCCATCACTATGTGCACGTCCTGAGAGGAAAGGCAGGGGGGGGGGGGGATGAGAGAGAAATGGGCAAGGTGATTTCAAGTTGTGCTCTCTGCCCTCGCACAGCTCCATCACCATGTGCACGTGCTGAGAGAAATGGGCAAGGCTTTGTTCAAGTTGTGCTCAAGCAATTGATGCGATGAGAGAGCTCTCCGCCCTGGCACAGCTCCATCACCATGTGCACGTGCTGGAGGGGAGGGGGAGCAGGAGGAGGGGGGGCAGAGGGGGATGAAGTGAGACGACTCCATCATCACCTCCAGGCGAATATCTCTTCCCCCCTCACACTGCTCTCTGCTCTCCGTGCTGCCGTGTGCCATTATAATGAGGTGACTTTTGAGTCGACTCAAAAGTCACAACTCCAACATCATCTCCAGTCGAATAGCTCTTCCCCCCTCACACTGCTCCCTGCACTCCGTGCTGCCCACAGGTCCATCACCATGTGCACGTCCTGTGGGAGGAAAGAGGGGGGGCTGTTTTTGAGTCGACTCAAAAACGTCCTGTGGGAGGAAAGAGGGGGGGTTGTTGAGAGGATTGAGGGCCGTGACATGCAAGTGATGCTGATGCGGTCTTTGAGCTCTCCGCCCTGTGTGAACACCTAGTTGGGTGCCATTGGGTTGATTCGTGGCAGCAACTCATAAGTCCAAGTCCTCTCCGCCCTGACACAGCTCCATCACCATGTGCACGTGCTGGAAGGGAGTGGATGGAAGAGGGGAGAGAGGGGGAAGGGAAAGGGGAGAGAAGGTGGGTAGGGTTCCATACTTGTGCTCACTGTATCAATAAGGGGTGCGATCGTGAGTTTGAGGTGGCTCTAACTGAGGGTGACTGAAATTGTTCATGTGCACACAGTGTGATGCTAACACGTTACACATCGAGTAGCAATGTTACTCGATCCCGACACAGTGGTAGCTCCAGAATCAAATCACCGTGCCATCTCCAGTGTCAACTGAGCTCACCGTGTTATCTCCAAAAACAACTAACCATGTCATCTCGAGTGTCAACTCACCGTGTCAACTCCAGAGTCAACTCGCCGTGTCAACTCCAGTGTCAACTCACCGTGTCAACTCCAGTGTCAACTCACCGTGTCATCTCGAGTGTCAACTCACCGTGTCAACTCCAGTGTCAACTCACCATGTCATCTTCATAGGTATCCACCAGCGACACAATGTTGGGATGGCCCTTCACCGCTCGCATCACCTCCACCTCCCTTCTCAGATCCGCTAAGTCCTCCACGCACTGGCAGGTTGGGGAGCAGGAGAAGGGAAAGAGAAGAGGAGAGGGTTGACCGGTCCGTTTCAAAGTGAAATGCATCTCCCACTTGAGCAGTCGCATCACCTACTCCTCCCTTTGAAGATCCGCTAAGTCCGCACTGGCAGGTGGGGGTGCACGGGGAGGGGAGGAAGGGAAGAGGCGGGTGAGGGGTTGCTCTAAAGCGAACTGCATCCCTTGAGCACTCGCATCACCTCCACCTCCCTCCTCAGTTCCTGCAAGTCGTGCACGCACCTGCACACTCCCCTGATTACCCCAAAGTTGCCCCGCCCCAGCTCCTTCCCCAGCTGATACACCCTCCGCACGTCTGACAGGCATCTATCTCACCCACATCTGCTCACCTCTAACCGTTTCTTGTTGACACTCTTGCAGGCGAAACGCTCCCCAGACAGCCAATCCACAGCCTCCCGGATCACCCCGAAGTTCCCCCGAAGTTCCCCCAAAGTTCCCCCAAAGTTCCCCCAAAGTTCCCCCAAAGTTCCCCCAAAGTTCCCCCAAAGTTCCCCCAAAGTTCCCCCAAAGTTCCCCCAAAGTTCCCCCAAATTTCCCCCAAAGTTCCCCCAAAGTTCCCCCAAAGTTCCCCCAAAGTTCCCCCAAAGTTCCCCCAAAGTTCCCCCAAAGTTCCCCCAAAGTTCCCCCAAAGTTCCCCCAAAGTTCCCCCAAAGTTCCCCCAAAGTTCCCCCAAAGTTCCCCCAAAGTTCCCCCAAAGTTCCCCCAAAGTTCCCCCAAAGTTCCCCCAAAGTTCCCCCAAAGTTCCCCCAAAGTTCCCCCAAAGTTCCCCCAAAGTTCCCCCAAAGTTCCCCCAAAGTTCCCCCAAAGTTCCCCCAAAGTTCCCCCAAAGGTGCCGCGCCCCAGCTCCTTCCCCAGCTGATACACTTTCCGCATGTCCCACACAACCCTCCTCCAACCCACACCTGCGTACCTCCAGTCGTTTCTTGTTGACACTCTTGCAGGCGAACCGTTCCCCAGACACCCAGTCAACCGCCTCGCGAATCACCCCGAAGTTGCCGCGCCCCAGCTCCTTCCCCAGCTGATACACCTTGCGCACATCCGACAGGCCTCTGCCCAGCACAGAGGCTGTCAGCTGCTGCAGTGCTGCTGCTTCCGTCCTGCGCCACTCCTCCAAAGCTCCTTGCACCAGTGCTCTCACGTCCACCTTTCCTCCTCTTCCTGCTCCTGCATGCACCACTGCTTTCGCGTCCGCCTTTCCTCCTGTTCCAGCTGCCTGCACCATGGCCTTTGCGTTCGCCTTTTTCCTTCCTCCTCCTCTTGCTCCTCCTCTTGCTCCTCCTCTTGCTCCTCCTCTTCCTCCTCCTCTTGCTCCTCCTCTTGCTCCTTCTCCTGCCCCTGCCTGCACTGTGCTCTTCGCGACTGACATTCCTCCTGCTCCCGCTGCATGCACCATTGCTTTCACATCCGCCTTACCTGACCGGGCTCCTGCAGTGGCTCCTGCAGTGGCTCCTGCAGTGGTTCCTGCAGTGGCTCCTGCAGTGGCTCCTGCAGTGGTTCCTGCAGTGGCTCCTGCAGTGGCTCCTGCAGTGGCTCCTGCAGTGGTTCCTGCAGTGGCCCCTGCAGTGGCTCCTGCAGTGGTTCCTGCAGTGGCTCCTGCAGTGGCTCCTGCTGTGGCTCCTGCAGTGGCTCCTGCTGTGGCTCCTGCTGCGGCTCCTGCAGTGGCTCCTGCGCTTGCTTCTGCAGTCTCTTTTCTGGCAGCTTCGCCTGCTGCTGTTGCTACTGCTGCGTCTGTCCCTGCCCCCGTTACACCTCCTTTGCCTTGTGCCGCGCTTGCGCCTGCTGTTGCTGCTGCGCCTGCTGTTGCTGCTGCGCCTGCTGCTGCGCCTGCTGCTGCGCCTGCTGCTGCGCCTGCTGCTGCGCCTGCTGCTGCGCCTGCTGCTGCGCCTGCTGCTGCGCCTGCTGCTGCGCCTGCTGCTGCACCAGCTTTTTTTGTCAGATTTCCCTTCTCCCTTGCTGCCTTCTCTCTTCTTTCCTCCACACTGGCTGCCTTTTCTGCAGCTGCAGCTGCAGCAGCTGCTGCTGCTGCTGCTGCTGCTGCTGCTGCTGCTGCTGCTGCTGCTGCTGCTGCTGCTGCTGCTGCTGCTGCTGCTGCTGCTGCTGCTGCTGCTGCTGCTGCTGCTGCTGCTGCTGCTGCTGCTGCTGCTGCTGCTGCTGCTGCTGCTGCTGCTGCTGCTGCTGCTGCTGCTGCTGCTGCTGCTGCTGCTGCTGCTGCTGCTGCTGCTGCTGCTGCTGCTGCTGCTGCTGCTGCTGCTGCTGCTGCTGCTGCTGCTGCTGCTGCTGCTGCTGCTGCTGCTGCTGCTGCTGCTGCTGCTGCTGCTGCTGCTGCTGCTGCTGCTGCTGCTGCTGCTGCTGCTGCTGCTGCTGCTGCTGCTGCTGCTGCTGCTGCTGCTGCTGCTGCTGCTGCTGCTGCTGCTGCTGCTGCTGCTGCTGCTGCTGCTGCTGCTGCTGCTGCTGCTGCTGCTGCTGCTGCTGCTGCTGCTGCTGCTGCTGCTGCTGCTGCTGCTGCTGCTGCTGCTGCTGCTGCTGCTGCTGCTGCTGCTGCTGCTGCTGCTGCTGCTGCTGCTGCTGCTGCTGCTGCTGCTGCTGCTGCTGCTGCTGCTGCTGCTGCTGCTGCTGCTGCTGCTGCTGCTGCTGCTGCTGCTGCTGCTGCTGCTGCTGCTGCTGCTGCTGCTGCTGCTGCTGCTGCTGCTGCTGCTGCTGCTGCTGCTGCTGCTGCTGCTGCTGCTGCTGCTGCTGCTGCTGCTGCTGCTGCTGCTGCTGCTGCTGCTGCTGCTGCTGCTGCTGCTGCTGCTGCTGCTGCTGCTGCTGCTGCTGCTGCTGCTGCTGCTGCTGCTGCTGCTGCTGCTGCTGCTGCTGCTGCTGCTGCTGCTGCTGCTGCTGCTGCTGCTGCTGCTGCTGCTGCTGCTGCTGCTGCTGCTGCTGCTGCTGCTGCTGCTGCTGCTGCTGCTGCTGCTGCTGCTGCTGCTGCTGCTGCTGCTGCTGCTGCTGCTGCTGCTGCTGCTGCTGCTGCTGCTGCTGCTGCTGCTGCTGCTGCTGCTGCTGCTGCTGCTGCTGCTGCTGCTGCTGCTGCTGCTGCTGCTGCTGCTGCTGCTGCTGCTGCTGCTGCTGCTGCTGCTGCTGCTGCTGCTGCTGCTGCTGCTGCTGCTGCTGCTGCTGCTGCTGCTGCTGCTGCTGCTGCTGCTGCTGCTGCTGCTGCTGCTGCTGCTGCTGCTGCTGCTGCTGCTGCTGCTGCTGCTGCTGCTGCTGCTGCTGCTGCTGCTGCTGCTGCTGCTGCTGCTGCTGCTGCTGCTGCTGCTGCTGCTGCTGCTGCTGCTGCTGCTGCTGCTGCTGCTGCTGCTGCTGCTGCTGCTGCTGCTGCTGCTGCTGCTGCTGCTGCTGCTGCTGCTGCTGCTGCTGCTGCTGCTGCTGCTGCTGCTGCTGCTGCTGCTGCTGCTGCTGCTGCTGCTGCTGCTGCTGCTGCTGCTGCTGCTGCTGCTGCTGCTGCTGCTGCTGCTGCTGCTGCTGCTGCTGCTGCTGCTGCTGCTGCTGCTGCTGCTGCTGCTGCTGCTGCTGCTGCTGCTGCTGCTGCACTCCTGCTTCTCCCTCTTCCCCCTCCCCATCCTCACTCTCCTCATACGCCTCACCACCCATGTACTTTCCCCAACCCTCCCCCTCCTCCCCCTCCTCCTTCCTCTTCCCCTCCCCTCCCTCCTCCTTCTCTTCCACCTGCTTCTCTCCTTCCCCTCGCTGTCCCCACACCCGTCCCATCCACCCACTACCGCCAGGGGAAGCAAGCCGGTAGTACTCACTGGGATGGGCGTGCGAGAAGGCCCTACAAACAGCCCCAGCACTCCCTTCCTCCCTCCCCTTCCTCCTCTCTCTCCTCCTCCACCTGCTCCCGCTCCTCCTCGCGAAGGTGAAGTGACAGGAGGGGAGGTATTGGGGGAACTCCCGGGCCTGGGTGACTGGTTCGGTGTGGGTCCTCCCACCCCCCATTTCCCCGAACCTCGCCTTCCCGAGCCTAACCCTCCCAGACCTAGCCCTCCCGAAGCAAAAAAGCTCTGAATCTCTGCCAGCTTTTGCTTGTCTCTCTCTGCTAGAGCAGCCATGGATTGCGGACTATGCACCACACTGCTCCCGCCTGGGGTATACGGGTAATTCGCATAAGGACTATTTGCATTTAAAGAAGTCGAGGAAGCTGGACTAGGAAGGTAAGTTGGCGAAGAGTTGCCGATAAAACTGCTCGATGCATTTCCTGCCGGACTTGAGCTGCTGGTCCGGCTGACGCTGGGGCTGGAGTGGCTCGGGCTTTTCAGCTTCGGGCCGTGGAGGCTCGGGCTGACCACACTGGGTCTTCGGTGTCTGGGGGAGCAAGAAAAGGTCGCTGGGATGGCTGCTGCTTCTCCTGCTGCTCCTGTTGCTTCTGTTACTGCTGTTGTAAAGCCTCCAAGTAATTGTGCTGGTCCTAGCACACGCCCTCCAAGCGACGTGGCATGAGCAGCAGCAACGGCAGCAGCATGAGCAGCAGAGGGAGAAGTTTTATAAGGGGGGAGGCGATAACTGGGGGAGGGCGAAGTGCCACGTGGACTGGCATAAGGCGGGCTGGTGTACGGCGACATGAGTAACGAGTCACTGGGAGCAAGGGTGATGCTGCCACGTGGGCTGGTGGTGGGTGGAGACGAGGCAGGGCTGAGGCTGTTGTGGTGGGGAAGCACAATTCTTGGAGCCCGGAATCCCATTGGGAATCCATTGGGCTTTTGAGTCGACTCAAAAGCAGCCCGGAATCCCGTTGAGAATCCATTGGCCCTGCTGCTGCAATCAGCAAGGCTTGTGGAAGTGGAATCAAGCTGGTAGCTGGTGCTGGCCGATCGCCTGTGCCCCCGCCCCGTCATACTGCCACTGCTGCTACTGTTTCTGGGACTGCCACTGCTGTACGGTTGCTGCTGTTGCTGCATATTACAAGCACTGCTGCTGGCGAAACCACCACCACCAGCACCACTGCAGCTGCTAACGCTGCTTGTCCTCCTGTGCCCTCCGCCTGTACCCACAGCACCTGTGTTTGGACCAGTCAACCACATTCCCACACCACCTGACCCCAATCCCACTCCACTCCGCCTTAATCCCCCGCTTCTCCCAGCCCCCACGCTATTCCCGCTCATGCCGTTATTCCCACCACCACTCCCGCCCATGCCGCTCAGATTCCCACTGCTGGCGCTTCGAGGGACCCTGGGGCTCCCAAGCACCGTGCCCATGGTGGGAGTGAATCTACTGCCGCCCATGCCGCCCATGCTGCCGCCCATGTTCCCCGCCAGATTCCCGCTGCTCGCGCTGCGAGGAATTCCTGGTCTCGCCATGCCAGCATCGAGCATCGTAGCATCCATGGTGGGGGGGGTCAACCCCATTCCCGCACCGCTCATGCCCACACCACTCTGCCGCATTCCCACCAGATTTCCGCTGCTCGCGCTGCGAGGCATTCCCGTTCTGGCCATGCCAGCACCGAGCATCGTAGTAGTGCCCATGGTGGGGGTGGTGACTCCCCCCATCCCTCCACCTCTCTGCCCCATTCGCGCCAGATTCCCGCTGCTTGCGCTGCGAGGAATTCCCATTCCCATTCCCGTTCCCGCCAAGCCAGCATCAAGCATCGTAGCACCCATGGTGGGGGGGGTGAACCCCCCCATCCCCCCACCTCCTCTCTGCCCCATTTGCGCCAGATTCCCGCTGCTTGCGCTGCGAGGCATTCCCATTCCCATTCCCGTTCCCCCGCCAAGCCAGCATCAGGCATCGTAGCACCCATGGTGGGGGGGGTGAACCCCCCCATCCCCCCACCTCCACCTCTCTGCCCCATTCGCGCCAGATTCCCACTGCTCGAGCTTTTAGGAATCCCTCCGCCCCCTCCCCCCGCGCCCTTCTTCCGATTCAGTAAGGGAGAGTTTGCCCCTCCGCCACCCGCCCTGCCTTCTCGCCCCAAGCCCGCACGTCCGCCTCCCCCCACTCCTCCCCCTCCGCCTTCCCCTGTCGCGTATGTGGTACGGCTTCTAGGGAGGCTTGCCACGTCAGCAATTGGAACGGCCGCGGAACCCCTCGCGAAGCTTCCGCCTGTCGTTTTGCTCCGCTCAATGGGGCTGGGAAGAGGGCACGCGCCGCCGTCCCCCTTTCCGCCCGTGCCCCTGGGGCTCAGCGGGGGCAATTGCGCGCCACTGCCAGCAAAACTCGCGCCAAACCCGCTGGTTCGCGGGCTAATAATGGGAGGAAGTCCCCCCGTCGTTCCGCCTTCCAATAGAAAGGCTCCGCTACTCCGCGATCGGCGGTGGTTGGGCGCGGAGGAAGCGGGGGACTTCACCAAGCTATACGGGCCTGCTTCTGACGGGGACAGCGCCCGCAGCGGAAGCCCCGTGGGGCTCGGAACACGCGGAATGGCGGAGGCGGAGGCGGAGGGGGAGGCGGGGGCGGTACTAGTGGGGGAGGTGGCTGGGGCAGCGGCGGAGGCTCTCCCCGCATCGTTTGAACCGTCGGCATTGGCGCCGCCCGCCGATGCGCGCGGAGAGGGTTCGCGAAAGGAGAACGCGTCCTCTGATCGGTACCGACGATGACGTGGCAGCGGCGGCGGCGATTGCGGCTTCGAAAGCCTCGAGCCCGTTTGAAGGGAACTTGGTAAAGGATGGAGCTGGTCTTGCTGGCTGACAGTGTCGACTCGATTGCGGACGTTTGCTGCGAATCCGATTCGCCTATCGATGTGGTAATCGAGAACGACTTCATTGGTCGGCGACACGCCGCGATGCGCGCTGGTAGCGAGTCTTCTGGCCTGGACGGTGCCTCCTCTCGTCTCGCCCCCGCCGCCATTCTCGCCGCCATTCATGGCGCGCTGCACGACGCTACTAGGCTAGAACCCCTCTGTAATGAGTTTGAGTACTAAGTAGCATCGACTCGACGTACGTGAAGTTTCATGGTCCCCCTAAGCTGAGAGATACTGAGGGTAGTAGGGCCTGATATGATTCTGCGCTAGCTGGCCAGCGCGGTTCGAACCTTGTCAGCGCGGCTCGAACTTTGCACGTAGAGCAGAAGCCATTCATTCGGTCCTCTTTCTCGCGGATTATCATACGGTCGGAATCTCGTTTCTGCACATAGACTACGAAATGCTCCACCGACACCATCTTTCTCACTGAATCTAACGTTTTTCCTGGCACCATCTGGATGTTGCCCTGAATTTGGGCAGACAGCTGGCAATGACACTAGCACTAGCAAGGTACAGTATCAAAGGCTGGCTGGCTGATAGCGTATTCTGCTCTAGCTGGCCAGCGCGGCTCGAACTTATCAGACGAGGGACATGTGGACCCGTTGATATTGATTGCACGTAAAGCATAAGCCATTCATTTGGTCCTCTTATCGCAGATTAGCATCTGGTCTAAAACTCGTTTCTGCACATAGACTACGAATTGTTCCCACTGGATCTAAAGATTTGGGCATCTGTATGCCGCCTGAAATTGGGGAGAAAGCTGAAGCACACACACGCATGACCGTTTGTATCAATACAGTACAAACACAAGGATGTGTACATGTACTCAGATCAATCTTGCCCATTTGTTCGATGCCGTCCGTTTCACGTTTATTGATGTCATTTACAAGCACCTGCGGCTCGGGTAGATCCGAGATTTTGACGATGAGTGGTTCAGGAGAAGCCCCGGCCTTGTCCTGACCTGGCCCCTGATTTCCGATGACAGAACAGAGGAACAAACCTTGATCGTGTTCTCTTCTGTGTGTGCTTCGCTTAAACACAATATTTGCAAGTATTATTTTTCTTCGAGAAATTACAACATGTCTTGCAGGAAGGATTTTAATAAGGAAAACCAAAATGCAGAGCCGCAAACAAAAATGATTGAAACACTAGCGGAAAACCACTAGCGGGAAACCTAATCATGTGACGACTGGAAAATCGTGTAAACCGAGCTCTATGCAAATCACTCGCTCAAACGCAAAGGACTTCAGCTGTCATGTCATACCTAACTTGCCGCAAACTATTTGTAGATACAGGCCCACGCAGCTTCCTTGTGGTCGAGTTTGGAGAGCTGTAGGGTTTCTTCAAGCCACCATTGCTGTTGAATACGGACGAGTGTTCTTCCATCGAAGATGGGCTTTCTGTGAAGACCGCCGAGTAGACTTCATCTTGCATGAATAAATCCGCGGTTGCTGTAGGCGATAGTGGGGCGGCTGAATACGAGGATGAAGATGAGCAAGGAGGCCACGTGCTGGAGGGGGGAATCGTCACGCACGATCTGCTGGGAGACAGAAGCGCCTCGCACTGAACCCCGACCTCACTCCCACCGAAGATTCTAACATTTTGCGGGCCAGCAGCGCGCCGAGCCCGTTCCATGTGATTGTCGCTGTTGCACCGCAGGATGCCGCCGCAGCCTCCGCCGCGGCTTCCGCCACCCCCGCACGGGCGGAAGCTCGGACGCCGCTGGCCCGACCTGAAGCCCGTGCGCGGCGCGGAGGCCGGCGGAGAAGGCGCAAAAAACACGTCGCCGTCACCAACAGTCTTATTCGGAGCGTTGCGGGAAAGCACAGGGCTGGGTGGTGATTGTCGAGAATGTAGACAGTTTCGCGGCGCGGAGGCATGGCGCAACAGCGGAGTTCGCGGAGAGATCGGCGGGGAGCGGCGTTGAGCAGCAGGGGGAGGCTGAGTCGCCTGGTTCGGAAGGCGGAGCTTCTCGTGCGGAACCTGCCCTTTTTGGTTCGGCAAGGGCGGGCGCTGGTTCGGTGAGACAAGCCTACTAGAACGCTCGGTTGGTACTGTCATCGCCGAAAAAAATGGAGAAACGAGCGAGAATGACGACGATGGTTTGGGAGGAGCCAAGGGCGGGGATGAAAGGGCAGGAGGCGCCGCGAAAGACGGAGAGGGTGATACGGCTTGCGGCAGCGGCGTGAGCCGCGACGTTGACGCGGGTGGCGGCGCAACCGGCGGCGATTTGGCTTGAGGCGATTCGCGCTGACGCAGCGGCCTAACTTGCCTCACTTGCCGCTGTTGGTGGGAAGTCTTCGCCGGCGGAACTTGCGGCGTCTTCGCCGGCGGAACTTGCGGCGTCTTCGCCGGCGGAACTTGCGGCGTCTTCGCCGGCGGAACTTGCGGCGTCTTCGCCGGCGGAACTTGCGGCGCCGTCATCAGCGACGACTGACACGGCGCGGAAGGATGCCGCGGAACGAGCTTGCCTCCGCGAACGACCAGACGTCCAGCGGCGGGTGGCGGTTTGCAAACTGCGTCACTGCCGCCGACGCGGCCGTTAGCGGACTGAGACGCCGGCACAAAAAGATTGACGCGTGGGCGACGCGAAAACTCGGGACTTGCTGGAGCCGATGCCGACAACTGACAATGCGCATGAGGAGTTTCTCGTGTTTCATCGCGTTCGTGCACATGCTCCGCGCCGAGCTCATACTGATGCCGATTGTGGTAACCATCGCCATGATTGTGCTGATTATGGTGGAAATTGTCCGACGAGACGTGTTGGAGATAGTAGTCGTCGTCGTGAGGTGTTTGCTGCCAGTGGCTGGCATTTTGAGTGGTGCCGCTCGCGAAGAGTGCGGGCTGGCGGAGCGGAGGCGACGGCGGATGACACATATCGGATTTTTGAAGGGAAGCAGCAGGGTAGATATGTGAGGGTAATGGACGGAGCGGGGGCGGAGCGGTGGAAGGAGAAACTTCGGCGCGGTTTGCAGTAGGCGAAGCTTCCGCGCGCCGCGTTGGCGAACGATCGTATGTTGCGATGGCACTTGGCGATGGCAAGGACTCGTTATGAAGGCGGATGTGAGAGAAAAGGAAATGGCGTGCGGTGGTGGGATGGCTGTGCGGTATATTCGTTCAGAACATATCAACAGCTGGGGACTTGAGCCTGAGAGCTTGAATGCTGGAAGCAATGATATGTGTGTGGTGCACTGTGAAGGCTCCCTTTCGGACCAAACGATCACAAGATGGGATGGGATGGGATGGGATGGGAAGGTGTCGTCTCGGTCTGTCGATTGAGGTTTCCACACGCCCTGTCTGGAACCTTGCATTGCTGGCAAAATGCTGCTGCTGGAGCTGCCCAGCATTGCTTCCGCTGACGTGCCTTGCTCTGCCCTGCCATGCTCCGCCCCCAAACCCTCCTCTGTGACTGTGAGGCACCACGGGTCATCTGCTCTGGGCATCTTCTGCCCTCCGCTGCCCGGTTTCCCGCCTTGGCGATGGGCAGGGCTGGGGCGCTGGCAGGAATGGTGACTGGTTGGGCAGCCTCACGTGCTGCTGACTGGCGTTTGTCTGGATGGTGACGATTTTGCAAAGCTGGAGCATGTGCGCTCTCAGGACGCATCACAAAAATCAAACATCGACCCTGGTTCATTTGGTAACTTCACGACTTCGTAAACCTAATATACCTGTTTCGTCAATCTCGCGAAAACTCAGGATGCATCACATAGTACGATCGATCGCACGATATCGATCTCCCGAGCAAGCTTCCTGCATTTACAGCCCTCAGAAAAAAAATTTAAAGTACAAAATGCAGAAAATGGATCTTGAAGACAATGGTAACCCATGTGGCTCGGGTCGGGGACGGTCGACGCGTTGAAATGTAACGAGTCTTTAAAAACAATGAATACTTGGGCAGCATTATTAACAAAAGACGAAACCATGGGGCAGGGCCAATAAAGAAACGGCGGCTCGATTCAACAAGACGGTCATCTCGTCCTGTCTCGCTTTCACCAGCGCGTTTCGCTCGTGGGGTGTGACTCCCATCCCACAATTTCCGCTGCCATTTGCACTGGATCAGATTCTGAGCAAATGCAAAGTTCATTGGTCAAAGTAGTCACAAAACATGGGGTACCCACCCTTGGTCAGTCTCGTTCATGAAGGCATTAATGTAGACTGAAATGTAGCGGGGAGATCGTCATCCAAGATTTCAAAAACTCTCGCTAAGTGCTAAGTGCGAGTTTCATTAGAGATCCTGTTGTACCTCATCGGCGGCAGTAGTTGCTCATTGGTTCCACAGACTAGGACCCTCCCCAGGGGATGCCAAGGTTTACAAGGCTACTCGGTTGCTGTTATATGGAAATAGCTACTGAACATCACTCCTACGAATCCCCGACGGGCATATTGTCTGGAGAACGACTTTCGAACAAAAGAACACAGAATTACAGCAAACTGGTGCCATGCTTTGAGCACACCTAACAGATGGGTGAGTCTGGGTCACATCCCGGAAACTGCAAAGCTCCCCTAAAACATTTAGTTGGGGCTAGTTCCCTGAACACGAAACCCTGAACCACCACACGCCAGAAACACGCCACATGTCACGACAAGCGCGTCTTGAATGCGCCTTATCGATATGGCGCTACCAGCAAACATTTGGCCGTCAGTTCCTCTACCTCACGCTTGATACACACGATGTCCGTTTGACTAACCCAAGGTTGCCTTGTGAAGGGGGCGCTTAAGTGATTCATGCATTTCGTGGAGGTTTCGTCAATTCGCATCGGGCAAAAAGGGCTTATAGCAAAATTTTGTAACTCACCGTTGACTGTTTGACTTCGGTCTCTTCTGTTTCTGTGGTTCGTATTGGTTGACGTGCTTGTAACGTGGGTGCAACTGCCCGGGAAAAAACCTTCGTGTGCAAGGTTTCTGGAATGTACAAGGCAATTTTGCGTGCAGGGGCTGGGCATCTTGTGTATTTATGTTTGCTTTTTTTGGCGACGCCCACCCACTTTCGCCACACGACACGAAACACATCGCACGAATGCGGGCAGCCACCAGCCGCAGCGCAGTCGCCACCGAGCGAAGACTCTACCACCCTGAAACCTCGTTACGAGAAGTCCCGGCCCAGAAGGAAAGAAAACACACGACAAATTTAAACTTATTAGCAAGGATTGATTAAATCTAATGGTAGCCGATGTATGTAAGCCTCACTAATAATACAACTGAATATTGGCACATCATAGAAGGCAACACAGAAGCTCAATTGGCACTGAATATTTGCACAACAAAATTCCAGCTTTGAGGAGCGAGTATATTTTGCCCTGTATCTACATGAACCAGCACCCATCACATACCTGATACTAAACAATATAGTAATTGCAGTCTGGTAGACCTATCACATTACTAGCACAAAATACCAGCAATTGTATCTGGATGGAGGTAGACGGGTAGTGTGTGAACGCTGCTGTGTGTGCGTTGATAAATCAACCCTGTTTCCTGTACTTTCTTACCAGTCCACCGCATTCTCCGTGTGCGCGACTCACTCACTCACTGTGCTCTATGCACGTGAGACTCGCTCGTCCTTGAAATAGCACACCTCTGCTCACCATCACTCATCCCCCTCTGCTCATCACCGCTCAACCCCCCTCTGCTCATCACCGCTCAACCCCCCTCTGCTCATCACCGCTCAACCGCCCTCTGCTCATCAACCTCTCCCCGCGAATCGGCTGCCCACTGTTGCCGCCGCCACTGCTGCTGCTGCATCCTTCCTGAATCACCCGACTCTGCAAACTGCGTTGTAACATTCTCTCTCAACACACCACTATAGACGCCACCCACAGCCTATCAAACCGGTGAACCTGCCTTTTCACCCGGAGCTGTGATAGCTTTGGGATTCACGCTCGCAAAAGCCACCCCAGGCACGCCGAAGCTCGGAGCCTTGCTACGGAAACCACCCGAACCTAACAGCCCTTCCGCCAATTTCGTCGCTCCTTTAGTCGCTCCCTCCGCAAGCTCACTTATATCCGCCAGATTCACCGCTCTGGACCTGCTCCCACCCCCTTCCCTGTAACTCCCCCCACGGATGTTCTTCAGCATCGATTTCAGCCTAGCAGTTCGGCTCTTTCCCTCTCCTGATCCCTCACCTCCTTCCTTCCCATCTCCCACCCCCCCTGCTCCTCCCACTCCCCCTGCTCTTCCCGAGCTGCTCCCAATTGCCATCTGCTGCAGCTGCTTCGACTGGATCTTAGCTAAGTTCTCATTCCACCGCCAGATATCCCCATCCATGTCCTTGGACCACTCCGGAAGCTCCCTTTTCTCAATGAAATGCGCAATCACACGCAGGATGCGCGGGTCTCTGAAATACGCCCCATGATTCAAGTCAAACCGCCCGGTCAGCTCTCCAATTCGCTCCTCAATCATCACGCACAGCTGCTGCAGCTGCCGCTCAAACTCGCGCTCGCTCAGCCGCGGGTTGCGGCCGATTTTCTTCATTTGGGACTTGAGCCGCTGGAAGGTCTGCGACTGCTCTGCCATCACTGCCAGCTCCTGATCGTCCCACAGAAACTCGTATACCAGCTTCTCCTTGCCGCTGTCCTCTGGTGCTTCTTGCACAGACACCATTCTCTCCTTTTGAGAGCTTGGGTGCGGATGTGTCTCAGAGGGCCCTGGGCTTGAAGAGGAGGTGTTGGAACCATCCAAAGCACAACTAGATACAGCAGTAGCAGTAGAAGCAGCAGCAGTTGCAGCAGCTTCCACAACACCTGCTCCTTCTCCCTCATTCTCACCCCCCTCCTCCATTTCCTCCGCCACTGCTGCTGCTTCTTCCATAGCAGGCGGGGTAGCGATGCGGCCATGTTCATCATCCCCTCCTGCCTTGGTGCCACATCTCCCTGCCATTCGCCTCTCCACCACACCCCGAAACCCCTTCCGAGGTGGCTTCTGAGCGGACTCACCACCCCCTGCAAGTTGCATTTCCACCACTTCCCGAAACCCCTTGCGCTTGTGCACCCCGTCCTTGCTCTGGTTCAGCTCCACAGACGTCGCAGCAGCAGCAGCAGAGCGGGGAGAGCGGAGGGGAGAGCGCGAGGCGTGGGGATGGGGGGAGTGCGATACGGGCTCCATCCACTCGGGTTGCTCCACGGTGTCGTCCTCATAGCCGGGCATCAACTCTCCCTTGAGTGACTTGGTCTTCGCCTCTGCCAGCAGATTCTGGGGAACGAGAGGGAGAGAAAGTGGGGAGAGGAAGGGGAATAGTATGGGATTTTTGCTGACTCAGGCAACTTAAGGCTGGTGACTTGGTCTTCGCCTCTGCCAGAAGTTTCTGGAAGTGGGAGGGGAGGGGGAGGAGGAAGGAGAGGAGGCAGCAGCGGACAGGAAGGGCGAGTGAGTGGTTGCGTGAGGCAGGGATGAGAGCCAGAGGGAGAAGGAACTGCACTCAGCCAATCGGGTTGCGCCACAGTGTCATCCTCATAGCCTGACAACAACTCCTCCAATGATTTTGTTCGTCTTTGCCTCTTCCAGCAGTTTCTTGCGAGAGGAAGGGAGAGTTTGAGAATTCTCAAACATCATAAGCACCAGTTTGGGAGCACTCACCATAACTACTTGTCATCCACTCCACTTCCAAAACTTGTTTCATAAATGAAACACTAGCGGGGTTGATATTCTCTTATCTCCGTAATTTTCTTGGCTGTATTTGGTTGTTTATATTGACACAGTGCTGCAGACTATCCATAGTGAATTCTAGCAGCAGAAAAGACATGTTTGCATCATGATCATCCCCACTGGAGTTGGATTATTTGATGCACTGTAAGGAATCCACAACCTTATGTACACATGTCTGTTGACCTTGTTACGCGTAAAGCTGGCCGATTATGCGGAACATAGTTTTGGGAGGGATGGAAAGGGAAACTGATAAATGGAAGTGACTTGCACAAGAGTGAAGCTAACTTTGCACACCAATTCCGCATCACGACTGCCATCGGCATTGTTAGAGCAGGCGGAAAAAAACATCTATCTCAAATATGATTGTAATGCTGTTATTTGAAGTCGAAGGAATGGAACATTCGACAGGGGGTTGATAAACTAATGTCGGAAGTTCGAATGACCAGCGTACAGGGGGAATTGGAGGGAAGAAAAACGAGAGGCGGATCCAAGCAGGGGGAAAGAAAATCGTGGAAGGAATAAGGGGGGAACGAGATGCGCGAACAGGAATCGGGGGAGAGAGATTTGCGCGAAAGGGAATCCAGAGGTAGGGAGAAATGCGAAAGGGGTGCGCACAGGAAGGAGCACAATGATTTGCAATAACTGTACAAAACAGTATAGAGTATCAGACTTCACATATATGTTTGGCACAATATTTGCAAATCCAGCCAAGATTAGGATACAGCTTAGGATGGCAGGTAAAACAACCTTCGCCAACGTAACACAAAGCAGTGTTTCTAATGGGCTACAAAAGAGCGTGACATAAAGCGAGCGAAAAACGAGTGGCAACTAGAAGGTGGGGAGGAGAGGTTGTCGATAAATGGGCAATGATTAAACACACCTGCACATTCTATTGGTCGACTTGTTGCGAGGCCAGGTCCAAATCCAGATGTCATCCACATAGATATATGCGTGGTTCAAATCCCCGGCCGACACAGACTTGCACGGAACAAACCTGCATGTTTCATACCTGTTGAACAGGAGTTCAAACCCACCTGCACATTCCATTGGTCGACTTGCTGAGTGGCGAGATTTAAATCCAGATGCTCGTCCACATAAATATACGCGTGGTTCAAATCCCCGGCAGACAGCCCAAAGCTGATCGTCACCACCATCTTCTGAATCGTCCCCGTGACAATGGGCGCAATGATGTGAGAGCACACAGACATGATAGCCGCCGGGAGGAAGAAGAGTGTATCCCACACGAGGATGATGGCGCAGTGGAATAGGAACGCCCACCAGTCCACCTGGCGTGCGTAGCGGGTTGGGGGCTTGGGGAAGGGCGCCCAGGGGGTCTGCTTCAGGAGTTTTGTCAGGTGGGGGAAGACGTAGGCTCGTGTGATTGGCTCCATGGATAGCGCGAGACTGGCCTGTTGGGTTGAGAGGGTGGTGGTGGTGATGCCAAATGAAGGGAAAGAGGGAGGGAAAGGGACGAATGGAGTCTGAAAGAGGAGGCCTGGTAGACTTGAGTTTCCGTCGCAGCTTCTTGTAAACAGAATGTGAACACGGCATCGTCGTAACAGTGCAAATCTCAGCTGGGAAGGAGAGGAGAGGCAGCGGGGAGAAAAGCAGGATTGCAAGTGTCGCAGTGAGAGGTGGAGGTGGAGAGAGCCAAGGGGAAAGGGCGGTGATGGAAAGACACGAATGCACAACTCCCAGGCAGGAACTCTTTGGGAACTCCTCCAAAGTTTATGGGAAGGCAAGATTGCTCACCTCATCCAGCTTGCTCACCTCATCCAGCTTGCTCACCTCATCCAGCTTGCTCTCCTCATCCAGCTTGCTCTCCTCATCCAGCTTGCTCACCTCATCCAGCTTGCTCACCTCATCCAGCTTGCTCACCTCATCCAGCTTGCCGGCGTGGATAACAAGGGCGGACATGGCAGGTGACCAATCAAAGGCCGGGTTGTGGTAGAGATTGCCGCTGTAAAACACTGTGTTGCCCACCGCCTGGAGGGGGCAGAGGAAGGGTTTGGAGTGGAGAAAGGGTTTGGAGTGGAGGAGAAGAGAGGAAAGACAAGAAGATGGGGAGAGAAGCGGAGGAGAGAAGGGGTCAGGTCAGGGTAGAGAGAGGCTGCAGCTAGCTATGGAGGACAGTACATGCATCCTGTTGCGGTGAGGAAGTGGTGATGTTTGAGTCGACTCAAAAGGCACCTAGAGATGACTTTTGAGACGTCAGGGGGTAGAGAGAGACTGCAGCTATGGAAAACAGTACATGCCACTGCCACGCAACGTCATTCCTCCTACTTGGGGTTCCCTAGAACAGTACACGCATCCTGTTGCGGGGAGGAAGTGGTGACTTTTGAGCCGACTCAAAAGTCACCTAGAGACTGCTGCAGCTATGGAGCACAGTTCATGACTCCTCCTGTTGCAGCGAGGAAGTGGCTTTTGCTTCGACTCAAATGTGCCCCTGCCCTGTACTAGCAGCCACATCTTTACTCTCATATGCTATATACTCAACTCGCACCCCCATGCCTCCCTCTACTCAAACTCATGCCTCCCTCGACTCACACCCATGAGTCCCTCGATTGAGTGCAGTCCAGTCCACTCACATCCATGATCTGCTTGATGAGCACTAGAAGCATGACTGCGGTTGCAATGAGGAACTCTCTCCCCATGTACTCACGCCTACCTCTCTCTCTTACCCTCACATCACATACACGTCCCCCCCACCCAAGTCCTCTCCACTCACATCCATGATCTGCTTTATGAGCACGAGAAGCATGACTGCGGTTGCAATGAGGAAGTGCGGGCCCGACTGGGTGTAGAAGCTGACGATGGGTTGGGGAAGAGCGGTGGGGGGGGGGGGGGGGGAGGGGGGGAAGAAGGGGTGGGGGTTTGGAATGGCGGAGGGGGGGCACCTGGGAGGGCAAGGTTGCAATGAGGAAGTGAGGGAAGTGAGGGCTGTGAGAGCTGTGAGGGCTGTGAGGGCTGTGAGGCCCAATTGGGTGTGGAAGCTGGGGGTGGAGAAGGGTAGGGAGGGAATGCGTCACGAGGGTGGGGCAAAGAGAAAGAAACAACACTTTGAGAATGTGAGGGTACACTGGGTGTAGAAACCGGGGCGCTAGGGAACAAGGTTGCTATCAAGAGGAGCATGGGGGAAAAGAGATAGAAACGATGCAACGATTAAGTGAGGGGCGCAGGACTGTGTGTAGAAGCTGGGGGCGACGAGGAAGAGAGGAAAGTGAGGTTGGATGAGGAGTGAGAGGAGGCATGGTGTGTAGGCGATAATACGGATATATATCACTCACCAACACCACCGATAGGAACATCCCGATACAATCCCAGGCAGAACAAAGACAGCAACCCACCACCCAACCACTACAAACAGCACTGCACCCAATCCAACCAGCAAAGAGACAGCAGCGCCGCACCCAACCGCTTACTCTTGAAGGCGGCCGGCGATGAGCAGAACGATAAACTGGATGAAGGAGGTATAGGCGATGATGAAGACATACATCAGTCAGTGCCACCGAGAAGAGCAGCACCAACAGCCCCATCACAACCCCGCCACCCCACGTCCAGTCCAGCAACACCCCACCCAACCCAACTACTAACAACCACCGCAAGCAGCACTGCACCGCACCCAACCCTACCACTTACTCTTGCAGCCGGCCGGCGATGAGCAGAACGATGAACTGGATGAAGGACGTGTAGGCGATTATGAAGACATACATCAGCGCCACCGAGAAGAGCAAGGAGAGTGCAAACCACAGCAGCCCGTTGGTCTGCCACTTTTTGATGTAGAAGGGCGTGCCGAGGAAGACGAGGGCGCCGAGGGCGTTGGTGATGGGCGAGGTGGCGTGGCGGAACGCCAGGAAGCGCCGCTGCCGCACTGCCGGCAGGCGCAGCAGCGAGTCCAGCCACTGCTGGTACGCCCACGGGTAGCTCTCCTTCACTCCCACTGTTTTCTGCCCATTAAAGCTGTGGTGTGGGTTGAATAGGAAAGAATTATAGGCTGCTGGGTTAATGTGCTTGTACACATGATATGGTGTACTGTTGAGTTGATTGTGCTTGTACTGCTAGCTAATGTGCTTGTACTGTTGATGTGCCTCACTTAGAGAGTATGTATGTGCTGGGATTCTAAATCAATGGTGAAACCTTAACATGCGCAATGTTGGTCGATCAGTGCACCGCAATGGTTTCCATTCATTGGTCTTACCAGCCAAACAATTCACATTGTGGTTAACGATGGTGTTACTATTTTTATTTTACTCACTCACAATTGTGGTCTGATTGTCTTTCCAGAAGTTGAGCACTGATTGCCGAAGAGACTGGTTCATTTCCACTCACGTTCATCCTTGAATTACAACCTCCCACCCTCCAAATACAGCAAATATTCGATCCTCGGAACATTGCTCACCCTCAGGACGCTTCACAATTGAAACATCGATCCTGCAAGAGATCGATGTGTGAGTGTACAGTGCCTTCGCAAATTCGTGAATGCTAGGGTATCCTTGTTTCGTTAGATTTCGCGTAAACTCACGTCACAATAAGATCATCCAATGTTGAACTGCCACCGCACTGAAAACCTGTTTCAAGCATTCAAAGCGCTCAGAAACGTTAACACTTCCGCCAAAAATGGATCCTCCGGGGCGATCGTGTCCCACGCAGGTCGAAACCTGGCTGTGGCGATCGATGCTCGCGATTTCGGTGTGTGGTCCCGATCCTCATCCGGTGTTGCAATTGTGACGCGTCCTCAGAACGCAACTCACCCTCGGTACACAACGAGGAAGGGGAAGAAGCGCCACCAGGATTTGCGCATGTCGATGCGGCGCCACTTCTTGATCAGCTCGTAGCTGCGCTGATGCGCCACCCAAAACTGCCTCTCCACCGCTGGATGCCACTCGCCTTTCTGCCGCCGCCCAATCTTCGCCATGTACTGTTGAGGGTGAACGGAGGGATGGGCGTGCGTGGGGTTGGTGGGCGGGGAAGCGGACAGGGGAGCAAAGCGGAAGCGCAGCGATGAATGGGGGAAAGGTGGGATGAGTGAGTGATAAACAAGAAAAGCGTAGGCTCGTTCATGTGGTTCCAGTTGGGTGCCAAACCAAAATCATGCGAGTCTCTGCCTGCAAGAAATGCACTGAAACTCTCATTTCACCGACCAGTTCGATCGTCTTGAGCATGACATTGCCGCCGTGAGAATGCGCCACCAGGTGGATTCGAGCTGCCGGGTCGTTCTGAGCGATTTGGTCGATCAGATTGTGCAGCTGCGGGAGGGTAGGTGGGGGCAAGGTCCAAGGGAACAATTTGTAGTAGAATCAATAATGATTTATTAAGAAAATAAAAATAAAAAAAAGGAGGAAAGATACAAACAGTTTTAGGGTTGAGAATATTTTCTGACAGGCGAATCGGGGAAATCCGAACGAAGCACGCCGCAGAGAGTGGGAGCCGTTCTGAACCTTACAAGATAAAACACTGGACACATTAGGTCATAGTCGTCCGCGCGCCGATTTGCGCACGCCTATTGTCACCATCACGCATTACCACACACCTCACCGCAATCTTTGACCATAGTCACCAGAGAGAGGTTTGGATTCTTGGACTCCCTGACGACTCTCTGGCGACTCTCTAGCGACTCTCTGGCGACACTCTATAGTGACTCGCTGGCGATTCCCTCCCCATCGTCCTCTCACATTCGTTACGCGGCGACGCCAACTCCCCACATACCTCACCTCCCAACCTCCCCACTCCCTCCTCCTCCGCTCACCGTCCTCTCATTTCCTCCATTCACCTTCATCGCAGCCGTCACGCGGCCGGCGTGCGTGTTGGTGCCGTCCCAGTGGAACGGGTACGGGATTCCCGGGAGCGCGGAGCACGGCAAGTCGCGCCAGATGGCTCCCTCGCCGATGGGTCCCGGCGCGAGCAGCCGGCTGAGCTTCCGGCAGAAGTTCTGCTCGCCGGGCGGCGGCGGTTGGTACCACATCGGCGCGCCGTCCGCCGGCGGCGCGTCGAACGTCCCGTGGATCACGATCACGTAGTGGTTCTCGCTGTCCGCGTTGAAATCCACGCGTCGCACGCGAATTGGCGCCTCGATGTCTTTTTCTTTCAACTCCGCGTCCTCTCCGACGCCGTCGCCCTCGCCGTCGCCCTCGCCGTCGCCGCCGTAATCGCTGGCGTCGCCGGCGACTTTGCTGCCCGGACCGAAGAGCAGCGACGATGGGCTGTTGGTATCGTGCAGCACTCCATTCCGTTCCGCTTCACTGTCTGCTGACGTGCCATTGCTGGAATCTTGCCGTAAACTTCGCCGGTCGCGCGCGTCACCGGAGAATCCGCCTTCCCATGCAACTCCGTCGTCGGCGTCGACGTGCAGCCTGCCTACGACGTCGCTTACATTCTCGCGAGAGACAATAGTTGTTGTCTGTAGTTCAGCGTTGTCGCCATCTCGTGACTCCACGAGTATTGACAGCTGATCCTGTTCCATACCCCTATACATAGTCGAAGCTCCGCCTTTCCAGAAGCTATCGATAAGACTTGCATTTAGAGTCGGCTTAAAAGTGTCATTGCTATCGTTCTCCCATTCTTAAATGTAAGTTGCATCGTCGCATAGCTATGGAGCGAACGAGACGTGAACGAGGACGCGGAGCGTTAGTAGAAGTAGTTTCTATGTCATGCGGAGTGTACCATTGCTGCGTGCTTCTGTCAGTACCAATCGTGCAAGCGCCACGGTTGGAAGAAAAAATTAATTGTGTACCAGTCAGGAGCAGCGCGAAGCGTCGAAGCGATGGTGTTTGTTTCGTGGGGGAACATGGCACCTGGTACTGTAGGAACTATCGCGTTGGTCCTAGACTCTGTACGAACGTTCATCTGCGAGCTTGCCTCGGTCTTCCTGAGGGTGCATTCGTATCCCGTGTCAGACACGAAGTTGGAGGTTCGGAAGACACAAGTAACTCGGTTTGTGTCTTCCGAACCTAAATTTGCCTGAATTTTGAGCCACGTCGTGTCTTCCGAGCATCCACTTCGTGTCAGACCTCTTTCTGACACGGTATACGAATGCGCCCTGAGAGTCCATCACCCAGCTCAGGGAACGTTCTTGGCCAGTGTCAAACTTCGGGCCAGGCTGCTTGACACGAGGTGGAATAGACAGGCATGGGGCAAAATCGTTTGTTCGTGTCAGACCTCTATGGGGAGGAACGAAGCTAGACACCGAAGCTGAACTGAAACTGCTGCTGGCTGTCAGTGTGCAGGCTACTCCTTTCTTTCAAACTCCCACAACATTCACAAATCACGTTATTTTACATTCGATCTGCTTCACCCTTACAACAGTACTGTTCGCCAGCACCAATATAACTGAAATCGAAGGGATAACAACGGGATCAGGAAGGTGGGTCTCGCCTTCCTGATCCCGTCAGTTAGAGTTCGTTAACCTCCGTCAGCTTGGTCAGCCCGTGAAAAATGTGCCGAGCCTCACCAACCGTCCAAACCAATTAACAAAGTGGGCGTCTGGCGAACGCCCACTTTTGTACACCGATTTTTACGTTTCGACGGCATATGGAAGCGGGGACGAAACTTCCTCCCCAGGCAAAACACCATCCCCTTGCAATGCCATCGTCATGCTGCGTTTTTCGAAGCACAGCGGTGGCACAGCGGTGGCACCGCGGACGCATTGCTGTGCAGGGGAACCCTCGAACAAGCCTTCATTTTGACACAGGGGGGTTCGTATACCCCCCATTTTTCCATCCGTGCGCGGGGTGGGGGGAGTTGTGTTTGAGCGGGGTGCGTTTTATTTGCGTTTTTTACCCACGTTGAGCATTTTTTGGTCAGCGGGCAGCAGGTGGGTCAGTGATGTGCAAATAGTTTCGCGCCATTGGGGGAAAGGTGGGGATGGACCTGTCAGGGTCACTAGGCAAGAATGGTTGAACTAGCAGAAGTTTGGGTACAAATATGAAACCCTAGTTGGGGTTGTACCCCATATTGGCTACCCCACTACAGCCTACAAGCATAATACAGTTTAACACACCCCCATAGGCAAAGTGGGGGAGAACAAAGGGTCACAAGACCAGTCCAGCAAAGCAAAGCAAAGCCCAGGGTGGATCACAACGTCACCACACTCCGAGCACAAGTAAAGGCCACAAGGCCAGTTCACATGCAGTGCTAGATATAGTACAAGACAAGCAACACAGTGATCAAAACCTAGCAAGCAAGCAACAAGATATATATAAAGTACAGTACAAAGAATGTCAAGCAGTGAGCAAGTGAGGAAACGTGGACACAAGGCCTAAAGAAGTACAGTGCCGCTGATGATCACTAGGCGGGAGCGCCTTGGTGAAGATATCAGCAGTGTTGGCCTTCGAGTCCACGTACACAAGCCGAAGCTGACCGCGCTGCTGAAGCTCTCGAGCAAGAAAGTAGCGAAGAGCAATGTGCTTCGTCCTGTGCTCCAGTCTGTGCTCCTGACACAAGGCAAGAGCCGCCTTGTTGTCACCGTACAGAACTGGAGGAGAACTAGGCCGCTCTCCCAAGTCAGTCAGCAGGTAGGTGAGCCAGCGTAACTCCTGTGCAGCCATGGCTGTGGCGTAGATCTCAGCCTCACAACTAGAGCCGAGAACAGAGGAAGAGCGGGTGGACCGCCACGAGACAGAACCAGAGCCAAGGCTGAAGGTGTAGCCCTGTGACGACCGCTGCGTAGCCAGGTCGTCCACCCAAGAAGCGTCCGAGTGACCAGTGAGGACAACTCTGTCGCGTCCTCCAAGCACCAGCCCCATGCCTGATGTACTGCACAGGTAACGCAGCACCCTCTTAGCAGCCTCCCAGTGCTCTCGCCTGTGTCTCCCAGGCGCAACGTAACGAGCAAGGATGCTAAGAGGGTACGCGAGGTCAGGTCGCGTGCAAGTCATCAGGTACATGAGGCAGCCTACAAGCTCTGGGTACGGGCCACTCGGCTCTACGGACTCGTCCGAAGGTGGAGCTGAGAGTGAGTGGCTGGTAGCCAGAGGTGTGGCCTGTGGTGAGGAGAACTGGAAGCCGAAGCGCTGAAGGACCTGCTGCACCATGTGTGACTGAGTCAGGGTGATGGTGCGGCGAGCTCTGTCCCGGGTGATCTGCAAGCCAAGGTAGCTATGCAGTTCACCCAGGTCAGTGCAGGTGTGTCTCTTCTGCAGCTCCGACTTCACACGAGCGAGTGCCTCAGTGTCAGTAGTAGCAAAGACCAAGTCGTCGACGTACACGAGGATGTAGAACGGCGGCAGCGACGTGTCTGTGCGCAGAAACAGCGACGGGTCAGCAGTAGACGGCGCGAACCCAAGAGCCGCAAGAGTAGTCCTCAGTGTGTCGTGCCACTCACGTGGCGCCTGGCGGAGACCGTAGACTGGCTGGCGGAGACTCCACTGGGTACCAGGGGGAAACGACCCAGTAAAGCCAGGTGGGCGGCGCAGCCAGATCTCCTCGTGCAGGCTGCCCTGCAGGAACGCTGTGCTGAAGTCAAGAGAGTGAAGCTCGTAGTCACGCTGAGCAGCAACGTGCAGCAGAACCCGAAGAGTGGTCATCTTCGGGGTGGGGGAGAAGGTCTGGAAGAAGTCGACCCCCTGACGCTGACTGAAGCCTCTAGCAACGTAACGAGCCTTGAAGACAGGCGGAGAACCTGGCGGCCGCTTCACCCTGAAAATCCACATGCCATCGACGATGTTCGCCCCAGGAGGGGGAACCTCGTCGACGTAGGTGCCTGTGGACTTCCAGGATGCCATCTCTGCGTCCATGGCTGTCTGCCACTGAGAGGAGTAGGGACCCGAGATCGCCTCTGCGTAAGTGCGCGGAGTAGGGATGTCTAGTGCATCCGGGTCTCCCTCAGGGGCAAGCAACCAGGCCACGAGATGAGGTACAGCAGTCGCAAGAGAGTCAAAGTCCTCCTGCCTGTCCTCAAGGACGTCCGTGCCAAGAGCACACTCACCCCCGACGGACGGAGGACAGACAGACGCAGACTCAGACTCAGCAACAAGGCTAGCAGCGTAGTCTAGACGACAGGCAGCAGCAAAGTCAACCAACTCAGCGACCAGAGCAGACGCAGCCGAGGACTCAAAGGTAGGGTCAGTGACAACAGTAGCTAGGAGACGCGTGACTGTAGGGTGCTCAGCGCGATACCGGTCAGACTCAGGGTCCGGAACGGCAGGCAAAGAGGACGCAGGAGGAGACGGTAGAGGGACACGCCGAGGAGCAGTAGAGGGACGCAGAGTCATGTAGTGAGTGCCTGGGACAGGAGGAGGACGCTCACGACGGACACGACTACCAGTGCGAGCAGGACGAACAGGCGACGCAGGACGAGACTCAGGCTCACGACGCTCTGTAAGACCTCCTGTGGGACCAGTATAAGGAGAGGGAGCAGGGAGAGGCGAGGCAGGCGGTAACTGTGACTGCGGCTGGACAGGCGGAGGACACTCTACGGAGGGAGGAGGACAAGGAGGAGGAGCCTGCCCAAGAACCTGCTGAAGGAGCGGTACGAAGTACGGTCGCGGCCGCGCAGCGTCTCCAGAAGCAGACGGGACTCCAGCGGCCGGGTCCTCAGCACCAGTAGGAGCTCCAGCGTCCGGGTCCACAGCACCAGCAGCAGCTCCACCGGCCGGGTCCCCAGCTCCAGCAGCAGCTCCACCGTCCGACTCGTCAGCACCAGCAGCAGCTCCACCAGGTGGGTCCGCAGCACCAGCAGCAGCGCCACCCCCAGAGTCGGCAGCTCCAACTCCGCTAGCACCGCCAGCGCCAGAGTCCCCAGCTCCAGCAGCTCCAGTCACAGTGCTCCCAGAACAGCCAGTCCCGGCAGCTCCAGTACCCCCAGTACGAGCACCCCCAGGACGAGCAGCTCCAGCACCCCAAACTCCAGCCGAGCCACTAGGACGGCGAAAGCGTCGGACGTACCAGTCGCGAAGCTGCTGCGGTGTGAGAGACTGCTCAGCACCCCGAACCGGAGCACCCCCAGACGCAGTAACCCGAGGCTCCGTAGGCTCAGTAGCAGCACCCCCAGGCTCAGTACCCGCAGGCTCAGTACCCGCAGGCTCAGCACCCCCAGTCGCAGCACCCCCAGGCGGCAAACTCTCAGGCACAGTACCCTCAGCTCCAGCACCCGCAGTCCCAGCACTCCCAGGCCCCGCACCCGCAGGCTCAGCACCCCCAGGCTCAGCACCCCCAGGCTCCGTACTCTCAGGCACCGTACCCTCAGCTCCAGCACCCTCAGTCCCAGCACCCGCAGCCCCAGCACCCCCAGGCCCAGCACCCCCAGGCTCAGCACCCCCAGGCTCAGCACTCCCAGCAGCACCACCCGCAGCAGCACCTGAGTCACCTGTGACCTCGACAGGCTCAGCGACGGGAGGAGGGTCTACCTGAGAGACACCTGAAGGAGCAGGACCCTGAGGGGGAAGGGGGTCTACCGGAGGGGGACCAGGAGCAAGGAAAAGCGGCGGGGGAGGGAGGGGGGCAGTGCGGTAGGGGAAGAGACGG